TTTCTGCAAGTTGTTTGAGGATATGTTTATGTACGCCATGGGACTCAAACACACACAAATGAAATTCCTCTGTTCTTGCAACTTCTCCAGGAGACTTTCTCCAGAGTGCAGGAGACTTTCTCCAAACGGCATCGGGTTCCCGATTATGACAAGGCATTTGGTATCCTGCTTTGGCAAAGAATCTCAACGGCGCCCTCCCCTGAGCCGGCATCCGATGAAGAGTTCATGAACGCCGCCGCCACCACCAATGTGCTCACGCAGGAATTACAAGCGGTACCGGAAATCATGTGAAATCATTTGAGCAGGTTGTCTGAAGATATCTCTACATATACACAGTCACAAAACGTAGAGCATTTTTTGGCTTGTGTACATAGTGCTGGAGTGTTGTATGTCCCATGTCATCCTGCCCTCGCATATGGTCCACGTGTAGGAGCCAGCGGAAGCAGTGCAGACTCAGAAGGCATGGGGAGAGCTAAACAATACACACCACTCACTGTACATAGAGGTTTGGAGAAACAATGAAAAGCAACACAAGTAACAAACATAATGCTGGCTCCCTGCCCAGACATGCCTTTCATTTCTGCTGGGGTGGTCTATGTCCCATGTCATCCTACCATCACACATGGCCCAGGCGCCGGAACCACTGGAAGGAGCACAGGTTCAGCAGGCCAGGGTGGGTGGAGCAAAGGGCAAGAAAAAATGGTGTCAGTAGCATTTACTCAGCATTCTGAGGCTGGTCATCCCTCAAAGCATGCAAATCTTGTGGATGAGCCGATGGTGGAGGAACTAGTTCTTTTTGAAGAGATTGAAGCTGAGTCCATTCAGTGAAAACATGTGAAAACAAAACCATGCAGCTGTTGAGAACTGGGATGGCCATTTTCTTTGTACATAGAGTCGTGAAGATGTTAAAATTTTGCTGGAGTGTTGTATGTCCCATGTCATCCTACCCTCACACATGGTCCACGTGCAGGAGTCAGCGGAAGAAGCACAGGTTGAGCAGGCCACTCCACAGGCATGGGGAGAGTTAAACAATACACTTCACTCACTTTTATTGTACTTAGAGGTTTGCAGAAATCATGTCAAGTATCACAAGTAAAAATCATAATGCAGTTATGTTCTTCATTTCTGATGCAGTGGTCTATATCCCATGTCATCCTACCCTCACAAATGGTCCAGGTGCCGGAGGCAGCGGAAGAAGCGCAGGTTGAGCAGGCCAGGGAAAGCTACCAATACAAAGTGGGGGGAGCAGTTTAGATTGATCCAAAACAGAGCGCATCATGCTTACAATGGAAGGCCAAGTTGGTGGAGCTGTCCCATGTCATGCGTTGGAGAGAGAGTTTCTGAGGCCAAAGAGATCAAGCAGGCGGACCCAGGTATGGACTTTGAGGCCGTGACAGTTAAGGAGGAGCTTGAGGAGCAGGATTGGTGCTTCAGTGCTTTCTGTTCCTTTTCTGATCAGGAGTCATGTTTGATTTTTGGCCCACACACACAGAGACAGCCTGACAAACAGAGCGTGTGGTGAATTGGAGGACAATTGGACTTCGGAGCCCTCAGCAGTGGACTATCAGCCGCCGGGCATTGGCTTTGTCAATGGGCAACCGTACCCATCTACATGGCCCAAGAACAGAAAGCGAGACAGAATACTCAAAGAGAGCCAACACCAGAATTTGAAAGAGGCCTTTTGTTGACCAATCATTCTTCGAGATGAGATAGCAGCTCATATTGAATCTTTCAGTGAAGAAACCAAACCCCTGGCAGCTTCCCGGCGCAAGCTGCAAGTCAGCTCTCACTGGAGCGGAGTCTGCACTCAGTCTCGTGCAGCATCTATTCTTCAAGCCAACCATGTGGGGAATTGTACGTTTGAGCACGTGCAAAGCTGAGTAATTCATGTCTTGAATGTTGATCCTATGAATCCCTATCATATTGTGAGCGGGCTGTCCCATGTCATGTGTGCCTAGGTGAGCTTCATTGAAAGAACAAAGCAGGGAAGGTCTACACTTCAGCGGGACTTTCCACAAGCTTGTATCTTCCAGGATGTTTGTCATGTACTACCGCCAGAGTTGCAAAGGGATCTGACTAAACTCCAAGGCCAGCAGCAAATTGAGTATGCCACGCATGCAACATGTGATGCTCACAAGGCCAAAGGCAAGGGTGGTTGCAAACTACCTTGCAACCTTGACTTAGCAGTCTTCGGTGCACCTTGTGTTGATGATTCTTCTATGGGCGCTTACCGTACTGACAATGGGAAAGCAAGGAAAGTGTTTTGGGTGCAGATTTGTTTCTGGCATTTTCATGTTTTCTGCTACTAAGTCTTCTATATATTATATTCAAACAATGTTCTGAATATTTATATACCAAGGTTTCTTTCCCGGTTCCACACTCAGACCATTCCCTGTCCTAAGTCATGTGTGTCCAAGGCGACTATGGCGCATCTCGCCTGGTTGGAGCGTGAATCTAAGCCAGCGCTGGTCATGTCAGAAAATGTTTGCACTGGAAATATTGGCCGGAGAGTATGCGAGGTTCTGAGCAACAGCATGGATTCACAAGCGCCATGCCAACATAATTGTATTGTTGTAGTGCTGGTATGTTTCTTTTATCGCTTATGGCTTTTATAATTTCAGGGTGAACTTTTCCAAATACAATCTAAAGGAAAACCCTGCCATGTACCGCTTGGCTTGCACATGTCCTATGTCATTTGCCTTTGCTTCAGGTGATATTCACAGAACCTGCTGACGCTGGGTGGGGGTGTGTATCACGCAAAAGGGCGTTCACTGTGTTTGTCAGGAGGAGCTCAGGCAGGTTTGTGGGCTCTGCGCAACAGCTTTACGACAAGCTCCGAGAGAAACTATCACGCAAGCAACTGAACATGAATGACTTGCTTTGGGCTGGTGAGGATGTGGTTCAGGAGGAATTGCGGCACCTGTGTTCCTCTTGCAGATATTGGACCAATCGCTCTGAGCAAAACGTGCTAACTGCGTGGGAGATGGACAACAAAAGGCTTTATGAGCAGGCTTTGGACAAAACGGGCAGTGATTTGGACAAACACATTTTTGCAGTGGGCCAGAATCCCAAGCATTTGTGGAAAGCTTCGACGAATGGGATTTTCCCAGCCTTCACTGCCACCGACAAGATTTTGTGGGTGAGGAAGCAAGATAGGCCACTTACAGCACGTGAGAAGTTCTCTGCACATGGCTTCCCTGTTTTGCCAGAGTTAGCAAGCTCTCTGGGAGTAGATGTGCCCTGGCCATGTTTGTAAAGTTTTCTTTTTTTAATCTTGTATATATATATATATAGGGTAGTGTTAGGATGTTGTGACAGAATACACAATTGTAAGTTGTCCTTGTTGAGCAAAGCCAAACAGAAAAAACGAAAATGATATAGTATATATATAAGTATAAGTGTCATGTCATGTGACCCAGGTATTTGACATGTCTTTGCTGACGCGACCTCACATGGCCGTGGGCAATGGCCAACACCTGGTCTGTGCAGCTATGGCGCTGGCATCTTTTCTAGGATCTGTGCAACTATGGGGGGACATGAAGGAAACGCCACAGCCGGTGCCTGGGCCAGTCCAATTGACAAGGATACCAACACAACCAGATGGACGCTGTTTCTTCACCTGCATGTTTTTGGCCATGAACTGCACTTCCAAGCATCAGAAGCAGTGGATGAATGTGCAGAGAAACAATGTTGGTTTTCCACTCGAGCCTGCCCGAATGGAAGTGGAGGACAAGGGCTTTTGCGCACGCACTGTGTATGCATGTCTACTGCATATGTTCACACATATGAGGTGTGTGTATATATGTATATACATATATACAAATTGATGTATTTATTAGTTTACTGGTGCATATCTCTGAAGCACCTGTATCTCCCAAGTCATGTGCCCACCAGGACAAATTGGTTGCAGAGTGGTTCACGGCGTGGCTGAAGAAGCATGACGATGACAGCCCATTTTCACGGAGCGTGAAGCAAACCTTCAAGACCTATACGACCCCAGGCCCGTCGGCCAAAAGATTTTGCTGCTTGGAGGGAAAACACATGACAAAAATAGGTGGCAGTCTCATGTCATGTGTTACTGCCTGGCATTTGATATGTTTCTGAGGGTTCCTGCATAGATAGGACATTGTAGCTGTTCATGCCGGTAGAATCGGTGTGCATATTTGGTGAATGCTTTTGCGCAGGCGAGGCTGACATTGAATGGCTTGTCAAGAAATTCAATGTACAGTTAGCAATCTATGGGAAAGACCTGGAGCAGCCGATGCAAATCTGCGGGGATGGAGCAGTGACAGTGATGGTCTCCAACGTAGGTGCGCCATGGGCAGCTTTTGTGTCATTTGTCTCAGGTTCTTCACCCGGGAAAGAAATCATTGATGTTTGCTGTTTCATAGCAGTATTTTGCAGCCTTCATCCCAAAAAATCCTTGAAGGTTGCGAAGATGGTGCTGGCCATCATGCAAGCCACTTTGCTCTATTGGTGCCACAAGCAAACCTAGAGATGGATGAGCTGCTGGATGAGCAGGCCTGAATGTCCAAAAGTCTACATCCCATGTCATGAGACCTGTTCCCGTTAGGCAGAGTTGGAGAATACCGAGAACAAGGCTGAGTTTGAGAATGCCAAGAAGACGTTTCCTTACATCGACTTCTTTGAATCTGGGACCGAGTTTTCCTGGGGCGATGATTTCAGGCAGAAGTTCAGAGTGGGGAAGGAGGCTGCGTCAGTCATGGAAGCCGCTAAGATGGCAAATGTCTATGTCTCTGCTGGCAAGTTCAAGCTCAAATCCTTCTCTCAATCATTGAAGAATCTTGGCACTTGCTAGTCATGACATGGGAGTTGGAATGAGATATAAACTACTAGAACATATGCAATATATATATATTTATTTATTTGGCTTTTGCTTCCTTTGTTCTTCCTGAGCCTGTGTCTTGCTTTCATATTGGCACGCAAGGAAAGACCTGGTCTCCAAGTGCAAAGAGGCAGGCCTATGCGCAACAGGCACTATGGATGTGCTCAAGGGTCGCCTGGTCGGCGCTTGGTTCAAGTCCGCTTCAGCAAAAGAGGTTGGCGCCTATGTCAGAGAGTGTGAAAGCCATCCGCCTTCAAAGCTTGAGGCTAGCAAAGCCCAGCCAGCATCTCAACCGACTGTGGAGCCCGCTCAAGCCTTGCCTGCTCTGGACCCAGCTCTGAAAGTCAACAAGAAATCGGTTACGCTGGATATTTTTGGTTACCGCTCCAAGATTTCAGTGCCTCAAGATGCTCCAACCCTCGTTGATGCAGTCAACTTGTGTGAGCAGCGCAGGCTTGCGGCAGTGAACAAGCACAAAAGCCTGACAACTCTCAAGCGGTGCCTGGGTTGCAGAACCTGCCACAGTCGTAGGAGGTCATGACATGGGACTTTGCTTGGATACAAACAAACGTTCCGCGGGCTTTTTGATGACCATACAACCTCTCAGTCTTCACCCCTGACTCCTTTTGCTTTTCTTACAAGCGTTCAAATCACATGTCATCTTACTTGCATTCTGAGGCCAGAATTGCTGAAGCTTTGTGCTGACAGCTCTTTGAGCAAGAAGGGCAACATGCAGGAGCTCCGGGACCGCCTGACTGCTGAATTCTTGAATTTGGCGACAACAAAAGACATTGAGTATTGGGCACCTGGAAAACCTTTTATTGCCCCAGCTGCCACTACAGCTTCACCTACAGCAGCTCCTTCAAAAGCTCCTGTGCAGCCTGCAGCGCCGGCAGTGCAGCCTGCAGCTACTGTAGAGCCCTTTGCAGCGGCAGCGGATGCTGCAGCCACCGCAGCACCGACAGAAGCAACTGTAGAGCCTTTTGCAGCGGCAGCGGATGCTGCAGCCAACAGTGGTTCTGGTGGGCATGGAGATGGACCAAGTGTGCTGGCAAGTTGTCAGATTGTTTGTCAGCCAGCAGAGAATATGACTGAGGTATTCACAGACTTGGATAAAGGTCCAGCCCTAGGCAAACAGGACTTGGCAGAAACCGCTGCTGAAATCATTGCTGCTGCAGATGTGGTTCTGCCAATTGCAGCGATGGTGAAGATATTTCAGGGTGTACGTGACGATCAAGCCAATGTGGCCTTACTTCTTGCAGGCAAGCCAAGGTATTTTATACTCTATTTGATGTTACTTGTTGTCGTGTTTGCCAACTTAAGTTTTTCAACCACTTTTTGCTTCACTAGTAGCTTGTGCTGTGCCCAATGGGTGCATGACATAGGACAGAGGGCCTTGAGTGGCAAGAAGCTGGTGCGTACTTATGTGGAAAGAGTCATCATGGGCCCTCAAGAGATGTTTAGCTTGGAGACCCTCGAAGATGAACATCTCCAGGAACCAGGCGGTTTGTTGCCCTGGGCAGTATTTCTTGCATGTGGAAACGGCATGGATGTCCAGCATTTCATGCAGCGTCTCCGATTGGAAAACTGCGTGATAGGGAAGCTTGGTGAAACCTTGGAGCAATTGCCTACCAATCTTGTCACCCCGCAGTCTTGGACCCTTCCAGACCTGTTGACCTTGAACCAGCCTGTGGAGGCACGTTTATCAAATCCCGTGTTGTTACGATGAAAAAGGTTCAACACATTGGCACTCCCTGCCAAAGCTATGTGCTATTGTTGTTTCCCGTAGTTGTTGATGCATTCTGCGGAAATCATTGTACAACAGATGACATGTAACATTGGCAGGTGAGGGTCCTCATGAAGGGTAAGTATGCTACACTGGCGCTTGGTTTCCGCTTCTTGCCGGATGAGATGAAAGCTTGCAAGAGGGATGCTGCAGGGATATCCAAGCTAGCCAGGGGGACATCATGTGCGCAAATAAGCCATTCCAAAGATATGGCACGGATTGCAAAGGAGAAAAGGGAAGAACAGCGCAGATCAGGCCTGGTTGGAGAAAAATAGCTCAAAAAGGGAAAAACAAAAGCACATGACATAGGAGGCTGACTAGTGAAACCCAACAAAAGAACCAAACGATCGTTTCTTACATGTATATATCTTGACATTGAGACGTGACCAATTGCATTGTTAGATGATGTTAGATGTATTTTGCTGAGGGAACAGGAGGAGGGGTAGCGTTCTAAAGTCCCATGTCACGTGCGCCGACAGGCGGTGCAGCAAGGGAGCGTTTGGAAGAGAAACTCAACCAAGCATGCAGCAAGTCCACTGAGTTGGAACAAAAGATCCAAAAGTTGCAGCAGGTGGCAAAGAAACTGTCGTCTCAGGAACTTTTGAATGGAGAGAACGTGGCAGGATTTGAATTGATGTCCAAGCTTGGCCTTGACAACGCTGACCCATTTCTCAGTGAAGCTTTGCCAACTATTGTCACCAATGCCTGTGAAGACTATCCAAATCAGGACGGTGAGCCTTTTGCAGGTGATTTTTGGAATAGACCCGTGCCGGCGCAGGCTCTTCTGCAGTACACGTATTTCTTTCTGAAAGATATTCAGGAGGCATACAAGAAGACTAGAGAGAAGTACACCAAACTGCAGGCCCAGTTTGCCAAGCTTACTGACAAGCTTGATTCTACCAAAGCCAAAAGGAAGCAACATGCAGAGACGGGGCTCAAGAAGGTCGAGAAGAGCAGACAACCTGATGCGCGTGAACTTCACTTGGCAAGAAGGAATCAGATCAACAGGGTCAGAAGAGGTGTCAAGAAGCAGAAGAAAGTCAGACCAGAGGAGTCACTTTCAGAGGCGCGTAATTAGTGTGAATCCCATGTCATGTGCCCCTGAATATTATGAGCATCTGCAGGCTTCCTTGTGTTTCCGTCCGTTTCTTCAGGCAACGATGCTATGTGTTGCAACTTCTATTTACATTGCGCTCAGGTACCAAAAGCACGGAGAGCACTCACCATCTACCAAAAGATGCAAATTGTGAAGTATGCAGATGAGGTGGAGCAAAATATCCCAACTCTAGAGAAGAGACATCCAGCAGCCAGAGCAAGAGGCAAGGTGGCTTCTGACCAGGTGAGATGGATTAGGAAAAGAAAAAAGGGAATTGACGTGCAGGCTCTTTGCAGGCTCAAGTTTGGAAGTCTGCTTGGCGGAATCAAGGTCTGCGTGTTGCGCAAGCGTGCGCGATTGCAGAAGTGGTCTTTGCTGACGGAGGCACAACAGCGGAGCATGTTCAGTCTAACGGATGAAGTGAAACAAAGCCTCAAGCTTGGCGCTGACACCATCAAGGGCTGACGGGCCTTAGGAGAGGGAGATACCACAGAAATGATCAAGAGAAAAGGAACTGTGCAAAGGTGGAAGGTCCCAGGAGCGATTCTTCAGGAGCCCCGGGAAGTGGTTGATAGTGCAGATGACATGGGATGCAGGCAAAGATACAAATATACATATCTATATTGTCCTTCCTTGGAATTCCACTCATAGTGTTTTGGCAGGAGATGGACAAAGCTCTCGTTGAACATTGTCAAGGGCTTTCCACTCTGTGCCAAAGACGAGACAGAGTTTTGGTCCGGCATTTAGCACGGGACTCAGATCACAGTTTTGCAGAAAAGTTTTGTGAACCGTTTCAGATGTGAATAGAAGCTGATTAGTAAAGATGCATTAACTGTCCTATGTCATGTGTTATCCCTACCCTACCTACCCTACCCTACCCGTACCCCACCCCTACCGGATGCAATTGTTTGTGGGGTTAATCTCCATCAAGGTAGTGACTGCCAACCGCTTGGCCAGGGAGTACAACGAGGGACTAGCCTGTGCCAAAGAACAAGTCGATGTTCACAACCTAGAGATGAAAGAGGAACTTCTGAAGATCGGTGCTACTAAAGCCACCATACAGCGGTGCCTCTTGCCAGAGCCTGAAGAGTGCCCGATTCTGGACGCACGGTGGTGCAGAAGGTTTTTGCATTTGATGCAATGGAAGCACCGACCGGTGAATACTTCCGGCACGTATCTTGAGTGGAACGACCCACGCCTTGCCGCAAGCAGGAAGAGGATTCACGAGCACATCGCAAATGGCGTTCACAGGTATTTAATCTTGAACGTGGATCAGGTGTGGAGGCAATCACTGCGTCCAGGTAAGAGTGTTCTGATGAAGAAGAACAACCGTCTCTTGGTTGCGTATAAGGCAGAGTAACATTTTGGGAGCTCCTACTCATTCTGGCTATATATATATACTGGAGGCAAGTGACTGAGGTTTTGTAACTCCTCAGTCATCAGCGTTGGGAAATGATCAGGAGAGGTAGCTAAGAGCTGTCTATACCTACCTCCTACAATCATCAAACATCCATCGAAATTGAAACTTTTAAAAGTTTCTGATTTCGACTATTTTTTTATGGCTAAGTCCTATCTCATCTGCTAGCCCCAACTCCTCAGTCACTTGCCCCCAGTATAATGCAGCTTGCTGCCGTCTCAAACATGGGGTCCCATGTCATGTGACTAGTGATTTACTTGTTTGTAATTCGAACTGTCAGAGATGCTGTTTCCACTGACCTGCCACAAAGAGGCGAGAAGCAGCATGGCGGCTTGATAGCCCGAAACGACACCGTGACAGGAAGCAGGCTGTCACTGACAGCAGTCACAAGCTCTTGGAGCGATGGCAGCCCAGGACCTCTTGGACTTTGTTACCCAGCCACTATGATCCCAAAGGCACAGGTTGAAGAGTTCAACCGCAAACACCGCTGTTCTCCTCTGAACGCAGAACCCACTTTATGAATGGGGAAAATTGGGTGGTACTTCTGAACCAGCTCTACACAGACGCTTTTTCAGTACAGCGCGCCAAGCATGGATTGAGCAAGGCCAATGCAGGCTTATTGCTTTGTGACGCGTGGACTGGATACCACTCCAAGAGCACAGGTTTGGATGTATCAAGAGAAGCTTGGTCTCGGAGCGTCAACTGCGTGCTGCCGGACGAACAGCCTGGCGGCTGGTCGTGTTGTGCCCAACCGGTCGACCAATTGCATCACATCTACCGGGCACGGTTGGATTTAGCTGATGCATCAGAGTGTGGATATGTGCCAGACCTTCGATCTCGACCTTGCTACTCATCCATGCCGGTCAAGGCTACGGGCCAAGTTGGCCAAAAGAAGCTGGATGCCAAAAGCATGCCTGATCGCAGTTTGCTGGCTTGGAAAAGCATGTTACTTGGAGCACGTGTCATATGACATGGGACACATGTGTGAGACGGCGCACTGAGTAGGTTCTTTGTTGGTCTCTGTTCTGTACCCGTTTCCTGCATTTGTTCCCAACTATATATACATATATACACATTGTAAAGCCATTTCCAGAAGTGGAAGCCTTCCACCGGCCCTAGATGAAACTCCTCACAAGAAGAAGCGGAAAACGTGCCCCGCTGTCTACCTATATACTTCCAGCTTCTTTTTCTATTACACAACCGCTTTTCCCAAGTAAATAGTTTTGCAAAGATGACATGGGACTCTGAGTAACGGCCTAACTGCAGCATGGACAGCTGCTAAATAGTTTTGCATAGGTCACATGGACTTACTAGTACTGCAGCTTTTTTTACTCAGGTGTTATTTCATCGACTGAGGCCTCTGATTAAAGGCTTTGCTCTAAATAGTGTGGCATAGATGACATGGGACTCTGGCGTGGATTTCTCTATTACAGTATTAGATTGTACTTCAGCTATTCATACTCAGCTGTGCCATTTCATCGACTAAGGCCTCATAAGGTTTTTGCTGCAGCTTGGACAGCTGCTGGATACTTCGAACGTGATCACTACCCAGATTTTCCTGACATGTCTCACGCAAATGCCTTGGCTACCTTGGATCCATCTGGGATGCTGCGGTGCTGCGGTGTTTTGAACGACATTGTAGAAGTTCCTCCCACTTCTAGGTTGCTGTGGGCTGTGGTTCTTGATGATGGCGGGCAGGCATACTTGCCTCTTGCCATTGGCGTGGCAGTAGAGCGGCTCATTTGCCAGCACAGACGTGACCGGAAGCTCCTAGCTGACAAAAAACCTGCAAAGTGGGAAGCTAAGCTTCATCAGGTCAACACTAGACAGATGAACGTGCACTATGACAAGAAGAAACGACAGATTGCCACTCCAAAGCAGGTCAAGAACCAGAGCAAGTTTTTGGAGGTGCTGACCATCATCATGGAACTACAGGACTCAACCATGCCAGGAGGACCAGGTACTTACTTTATCTTTGGAGAGCACTACAGCAAAAAGAAGCTAGTGCTGCTGAACGCCAAGGACTCAGTTTCTGGGTTGGAGATGCTCCAGGATGCCTATAATGGAGGCCCAGGGGCTACAGGGTTTGGCCAGGGTGAAAACGTGGGTCCCATGTCATGTGATGTTGGGCCTCTGTACACAAAGTGTGCACTGTACACAATTTATACATAAACCAGTTTGGCACAGGCGGCCCCCAAATAGATATATATATATATGTATATAAACATTTGTCGATACCTTTTGAAAGAGGTTTTACTTTTCTATCTATCTGGGGGTCTATATAGGTGGCTGAGTCCCATGTCATGTGAGCTAGTGCTTATTGCGTAGAGTGAGTGTGCACTGTATACCATACGTATGTGTTTCGCTCTGGACAGGTGATGAATCCGAGGAAGAGCAGCAGCTCAGTGAAGATGAGGACAGTGAGAGCGATCATGGCCATACGCAGCCACCTGCTGGGGCTGTTCCGGTTCATCACAATGATGGAAGAGAGCATGATGGTGATGAATCAGACAATGATGGCTGCAGCACTGGAGTGAGTGAAGCCAACACGCAAACGGATGAGCTTTGTGAAGAGCTTTCTGATGCTGGCGAGGGAATGGAGGAAGCCACTGGAGGTTCAGAGGAAATGACTGGTGGAGTCACTGGTGGGGAGGGTGCTGCAGGGCGCGTCAAAAAGTTCCATCTCAGTGAGGTGTGGAAAAGGCTGGAAGCATTGTCTAAGAAGGATGGCTACAGCTACACTGCGCTTCCTTTGCTTGTTGGCCTTGGAGTCCACCGGCACGCTTCAGGCAATTTCTGGTCTGCTCGTTTTCCTGGCGAGCCGTGGTTTACTTGCAGATTGGGTGAGGCCAGGGACGAATTCAATAGCCTCTTGACCATCCTCAGGCATGTCATCAAATTGTACATCAGAACTGCTCCAGCTGACAGACAGTCATGGGAAGTGCACTTGGAAAAGCTGAGTGCGCTCCGAACATGAGGTTCTTTCATTCCATTTAGCCATTGAAACCCTTGTATATATGTCCTATGTCATGTGCCTTTGTGGAGATCAGCTGGAGTGTCCACAAACAAAGTTACAATCCCTTGGCTGCTGGATAGAGTCCAGTGAAAGTTGTTTTTCAACTGTTGTCTATATATGTTTCCTGTGTTTATGTACATAGCTTTCTGCAAAGTTGCTGTTCTTTTTGTGGTTGTTTGGACTTGTCCTGTAGAAAGCCAGTGCATGGAGCCCAGACACACATTGAGGCCGGATAGGTCCCATGTCATGAGGCATAATGAGAAATCCTTGGCTGCTGGATATAGAGTCCGGTGAACGTTTTTCAAGTGTTGTTTGTTCTTCCTTTGTTTTTGTATGTATATATATAGCTTTCTGCAAGGTTGCTGCCTTTTTGGGGGTTGTTTGGACTTTTCCTGTAGACAGCCAGCGCGCGGAGACCTCATACAATGAGGCCGTACAGGTCCCATGTCATGAGGCATAGTGAGAAATCCTTGGCTGCTGGATGGAGTCCGGTGAAGATTTTTCAACTGTTGTTTGTTCTTCCTGTGTTAATGTACATAGCTTTCTGCAAAGTTGCTGCCTTTTTTGGGGGTTGTTTGGACTTGTCCTGTAGACAGCCTGCGGTTGGAGACCTCACACAATCAGCCTGTACAGGTCCCATGTCATGAGGGATTTGCTCTAAATGTGCTTGATTAGAGTTGATTAGACAAAGATCTTCATCACGATGTCCGTGATCCACTCCCACAAATCCCCAGCTTCTGGAATGATTCTAGTGATATCTGCACAGGTGCTGCAGTTCATTCCAATTCTTCAGCATTAGCGCATGACCATGGAGACAAGACGCTAGTGGAAGTGTTGGAAGAAAAAGGGCCTCTACCGTGGCACCGTGGAAGCGTTTCTTTCTGGAGAGAGACCACTGACAAAGGGAATGTGGAAAGTTTTTTTGAACCTTGCCGTAAACCCATGTCATCTGTTTTTGATGACTTTGGACCATATTCCAGACCCATGTCATCTGCTCAGACTGATGCTGGAAAGTACCCATGTCATCTGCTGGCAGTATAAATGATACCTTTGCTAAATATAGTTGCAACATGTTGCAACGCTTTCAACATTGAGTTCCAACGATGTAGAGAATCCATCAAGAACCCATTGAATCCAATTCTTTTTCCGGACATCAGGCGTGGCCAGTGCTCTCGGAGCGCTTCCCGGTGGTGGCGGACTTCGACATCGCGGAGCGACCGGTGGGTATGGTCGTGGATCAACAGCTCAGACTGTGACTGTAATTTTCCATTCATGAACTTAACTGTGACTGTGGTCAGCTCGCTTTGGTACTGTCGGCTTGCTTACTCTACTTGGTACTTTTTCACTGGAGCAAGAACCATGTCGCACTTCCGAAACACTTCACGAAATTGGAAGCCCAAAACCAGAAATTCATTCCAGAAACTTCCTTTCCAGAAACAATCCTTTCTCAAATTTTGCTTTTTAGACTTCACTTTCAGAAATCATCTTCCGCCCCAACACCAACATTCCTTCGCAGCGTCGCCGCAGCGTCGTCGCAGCAGCGTCGTCGTTCGGTCCTGGGGCGAGGAACCAACGCATTTTGCCCATGAATTCTCCTTACACCTGGCATCCTTGCTAGGAGAGGCGCAGGGGCGCTGCGTTGAGCAGGTGTATTGGTCACATGTTTGTCCAGTTTCGGTGGGCGACCCGTGCTATTGCTGTTGCTGGAAGGACGCTGTCCGAATTCTGGGCGCCTCGAAGGGACAAAACGGATCGGTTCATTGGGGATGATTGGGGTCGCATCACGATGTTCGGATTCTGCATCACTCTGTTTCACAGACAGCACGAAAGGTATTTCTATTTAGGGCATCGTTAGGGTTTATTTGTACCGTCACCCTGCAAACGATAGAAAGCAAAACGTCAAGCACAAAACAGACGTTCGACCGTTCCCATCCAAGACCTCCTCTTCCATGCGGCCTGGCATGTTTCTTCCCCCCAAGTTTCTGAGGTTCATGTGGTCATCGCCACATGTCGCGGTAGGCGGTCGCCTTTTCAGGTGAAAGTGGAAGAATGGGTTGCCCAGAAGCTGGATGCGGCACTGCAACTGCAACAAGCCCAGGCGCGACGGCTGTGGTGTGAGACTGCTGTCTATTCTTTTTTCATCGACAGCTTTGTTTTATCATGTATAATGACATACAGTATATATACTTGATTCACATGCAGACATTCTGAGAGCCACCTTCAAATTCTCTGTTGCCAAGGCTCTTCTTTTTTCCGAAGATCGATCCTCAAACGTGTTTCACGATGAGGTTTGGGCCTTGATCAAAGGATGCAGCGCCATTTGCCCTTGTTGCGGATCCAAGTGTGACCGCACGGACAAGCACACCGCACACCGCTGTAGCCACTCGGATTGGTCAAGTCGGGAGTCAGGACGGCCGGGCTGCCAGGTCTTGCAACCGGCCAGTGTGAGGATCACTGCTTCATGGATAAGACCGAACAGTCTAGCAGCTTTTCACGGACCTCTTCGGGCACTAAAGAGCTTGTGTTATCTTGTGTTGCATCCTTTGTTCTTGTGTCTAACTTCCTCCCCCACGTGATCTGTGCTCCCCTCTCCCTCTCTCCCTCTCTCCCTCTCTCCCCTCCTCAACTTGCGAAGGATTTTGGGGGGAAGGGATTGATAGAAGAGGAGCTCATCAGAAAGACTTCTACCCTAAGAATCCTTGCGCCCGGAGCGGTCGGAGCTTCTCCACTCCACCGAAGCAGCGACGGTCGCTTTTCAACCCAAACCAGTTCACCGAACCCTATGTGTTGGGGGTCGGACCCGGCTTCGGGTACGGCAATGGCATGGCAAGCCTTCAGGTCATCACCTCTTGCCGGCCTTCAATGGGTGGCGTGTGGCAGGGACCTGTGAGGCGGGAAAGAACGGATCCCGACGGCAGTCTCAAGACCAAGCCCATCTCGGTAAGTTGTTTGTGTATATAAATACCTTTTTCGTGGAAGAAGGCTGAAGGCATGCAACTTTTTTCCAATCACCAAACAGTTTGCCTCCACTTTTAGTAAGCTACCGCACAGTCGTAAGGATTCTGGATCACAGGCGGCCTTGGACGCCTGCAAGAGCTCCAAGAACCATGAGGTGCTCTGTGCTCCCGCGCTCCGGCGCTGCCGACCCGGCGCGGACGAGGTGAATTGGTTTTCGTGCAAAAGCCGAAGAAACCACGGAAGAAGGGCCGACGAAGTGAGCAAGCACCCGAGTGCCATTTGTAGTTTTGTTTGTTCTTTGGGGGGAGGTCGGGCTTTGATTTATTTGGCAAGCACATGGGATTTGGTGCAAGTGTGCAAGTGTGCAACTGGTTTTCATGGAAGCCTATAAGCAAGGAAGCAGAGGAACATCAGGATGTCGAAAGATGCTGCATTTTCCAGATATGACCGCCTGTGATGAGCCCACAAAAAAGCCTCGTCACTTCAAACAGGCTCCTCCAAAACACTGTCAGTGATGATTCGCGACTTTTTTTTCACTTATTTGTTGCGTTTCTTCCACTGAAGCCATTTGTTTGCACTCGAACACCGACCATGATGATTAAATCATATTAAATCCATCAGCAATGTTTTTCAACAGCGACAGAGTTGCACGGCTTCGACGGCGAAAGGCCGTCTTCCCTTTCCGGACGGCCTTTCAGGCGCCCAAGCGCAGCGATTACTCCGATCACCTCTTCCCCAACCTACAGGAGACCAGAGGGAGTTGTGACGAGTCTGCGAGAAACATGGTCAGGTGTGGCCGGCTTGGACATTTCTCAAGCAAACATTGTACATTGTACATGACAACAATGGTGTGGGTTGACGAAAGAAGGAACCTCTGGCTCCAAGAGCCAGAAGAGCCACAAAAGCACAGAGTCCGCCCGTCTGTTGAAGCATTAGATAGCTTTTTAGAGGCCTTTGGGAGCCGAAATCATTTTGTTGTGTTGTGTTGGTAGATCTACTCTGAGAACTGCGAACAGTCCGAGAAAAACACAGATCACAGGATTTGAGAGGCCAGATTTTTGAGAGGTGTTGTTGGCAGCTGATTGTGCTGGCAGGAGTATCTTCAAGCAGAGCATCCGGAATGGTTGCCATTCCCCAAGGAGGTTCGCATGGGCTCAGAACGTGTTGGACATCGTTCACCGATGCTGCGCGCTGTGACGCGCGTCATCGGCAGCGGAGCGGAGCAGAAGGGCCAAGGGTCTGTTGATCTGCATGGCCTTATGCATGGGCCGCATGGGTATCACAATTGAATTTTACAAGAAAACCATACCCACAGATATTTCAATTTTCCGATGGTTCGTTTAGATGCTTCAGATCCCATCAAACTTTGGCTTTGCTTCAGCCTTCTTTGGCAGACTCTGGCCTTCCCCGGTCATGTTTCGTTTTCTGAATGGTCCTTGCTCGACCACCCGCAACACTGCTCCCACCCCTCGCTCCGGGCGCGAAACCGCTCACTGCGCGAAACTGCATCCGTCACTTTGCGCTGCGAAAGCGGCGGCAGGACCGAGAGCTGCTGGCGGACAGCGTGCTGAAGGCGGAGATGGGAAGAGCCTGGAAGATTTTGGGAACAGATGTCACTGGCCACTTCTGTGGGAACTTCGCCACTCCCGTTCTGGCCACGTGTCCCTGCTGGGCAACCCAGCAGCCCACGAGTTCGCCGAGTTCGCCAGTTGTTCGGAGGTGGGATTTGTGGTGAGCCCAGTTGGTTTCTCTACCAAGATGGGCGAGTGAAAACCTCAGGAGCGCCACGAAACTTGAACAGTTCTATGGATGTCTTGGACAAGTTATGAGATTTATCTGTGGCGTCTGTGAGTCCCAAGTGAACATGGCAGTCATAGCACATAGTAGCCGGGTTTCTTGTATGGTTTCATTGACTCTAGGAAGTCAATTCCATCATTGGCAGATACTGGCAGGTGCCCAAAACAGAACCGTCCCCCTCTAAGTCCATCCTCCATCCAGTCGCAGCAGGCCGCCTGGGTGAATTGCAGAGCCCCTTTGCTGGCGCGCTACGACATGGCGCGGGACCCCGTCACCGGGACATGGACAGGTCGGACATGTCGCGATCCTGGTGAGAAGGACATTGGACCCGGGATCCGGGGAGAAAGGATGTTTGGAGCCAAGAACGGGAAGCAAAGCGCTTGTGATGAGATTGGTTTCTTGGTTCTTGGCAGGTTACGAGTGCCAATACTAAGTATATCTGAGTATGGTTTCATAAGAGGGAGCCAATCTTCCAAGCTTCAGATTGTAGTGTGTGATAGGTGGTTCTTTGCAAGATTCTGCGTAACGTCATAAAGTGCCACAAAGTCTTCTACAAAGAAGACACTGGCCACTGTCCACTTGACCTTTTGGTCAAGACTGTGCTGGCATATGTGGCCAGTCGTTCACTTGCAGTTGGCAAGAGAGTCTTGATAGCTTCACGGATCATGCTGCTTCGCAGATCGTGATGTCTCATTCGAACGCCTTGAGCATGTGTTGAGTTCACTGAATAAATCTTTGGCGTCATGCAGACACATGGGAGGTATTCTCAGATTCACTGAGGTAATTATTCTCCTTTGAGGGTCAGTATGGTAGACCACGGCTGAAGATTTCGGATCCAACGTCAGAAGACGCCTCTAAAAGTCAACGACATGTTCAATAATGTCAGAAGTGTTTTTTTTTCCACCGCGCAGAAACTGACAATATTGATCTTCAGGGCGCTTTGCGACGATAACCGTCCGCACCATTTGCCCTGAGAGGCAGCACAAGGACAAAATTGAACACCCCTCGCATAGTACCGTCCGCACCATTTGCATGCTACCATTCATCTCCAGGTCTCAAGTCGATCATTGTAAAACTTTTGTGTGTCTTTTTGTTGCATCATTTGTATCACCAGATCCCTGAAAGGCAAAACTTCCAAAAGTTTGGGTAATTTCTCACTTCAAGTTCTATACCATATGGCACACCAATTCCTTGGCATTGTCCGTCTGTTTTTGCACGTTTTCTCCCTCTAGACTCATGATGCCGGATATGCAATTCCGTTCCCATAACACCCCACGCGGCACCTTTGGTGCTGGCGGATGTTTGTGTGCAATGTCCACTGCGCTGCTTAAGTGTTTCAGGTCGACAGTACGCCACCCGAGTGGATTAATGCTTACGAGGTCGCGATGGGCGGATCTCGTTCTGCGTTTCTTTGGGCATCGGACGATTCGGGAGACCTTTCACCAGCTGGGTTGAAAAGGCACAGCCTGATGAAGGAGGGTCCAGCAGGGTGTGCTGTAGACATCCGTAGGGCACGGCTTCAATCGCTCATTGGGTGGTAAAAGAGACACCTTGATATCATTTGATATCTATTGGTCTCTAAGTCTTGATGCACCAGCAGTAGTACGGATGTTGGTCGTTTTACTTTTAGCCGTAAGTTTGTAGAGGGAAGTTCCAGCCTTCCAAGAAATGCAGGTAATTGAATTGTGTGTTAAACACAAGTGGCTACCCTTTCTCCTGCCATGCACCCACTGAGTAGTTTCTCGAAGCTTTCCACTCCACCGCATCAAGCTGCCCATTCATTCAGCGGTAGAATATGTATACTGTCTCTACCTCTTCTCATTCAATTGTCCCATTCATCAACTTCACACCAAATCTCCATCCCTATCCACCTCTCCAACGAATCTCCAATCCGTCACCGGTACGGACGAAGTCCTGTCGGCAGGAGTCCCAACGAAAGCTGCCGGTCTCGGCCGTGGACGAAGCGGAGCAGCGTTTGCTGCAGCCGGGACACCGAGGAAGACGCAGACGCCGAGGCCGTTTGTGTTGAGCACAGCTGCTGGCCGTTCGGTTGGTTGATTTTTGGGGAAACCTTAACGGTTGATTTTTGGGGCGGTGCTCTCAATTGAAACAAGAACCTTAAAGCTTAGAAGTTAGAAGAGAAAAAAGAACCGTAGGAAGCCTTGCAATGACCAGGGTCTGTATTCCTCAGGTGGAGTCCATCGGAACCACGACCTGGTGTCTTTCAGGTTTGGGTATCAGCCTGATGCATAGTGAGCGCAGTGAACAGCGGCTGCGCAGCGCCAATGACCAAGCTGTGTGGTAGAACCTCGTGCGAAGGTCAGAGGATCAAAGGCCGATTTCATCCGCTGATCTGTAATCTAGATCGTCGCAAATGGTGGAAGGAACGACCCTTGGTGTAGTCTGTGGCAGTCATTTGACTGTTAAGGTTGACGATTTTGAAAGCGCTGATTTTGGCAGGAAGGGGCAAGTGACTCAACCATTGGTGTGCGAGGTTGAATCTTTGCATCTAAAAGACTGACAAGAAGTTACTGCAGTATAGTTTAGTATGTCGATCCCAGGACGTCTTTTGGCAGCTTTTCAGAACAATCCGAGGAAACTACCTCAGACTGGCCTTGAGAAGCGAGACAGAGGCTGCACAACCAGCCATAAAGGACATATACATGTTTGATCATTTTTTGTTCAATGGGCAAACATTCAGGAGATTGGTTGCACTGCTGCGGATACTGTAGCCATCGTGCTTCGGATTTCTCGGATAGCCAGGGTTCGTGTGCGAATCCACCATCAGCAGGCTGCATGGTTCGACCCTCCTCTGCTCGGGCGCAAGCGCGTGCCGTTGGTCGAAGCGCCGTTGCGACCATAGGAGTTCCCCAACCCCTTTGGCTAGGCGAACAGCAGCAGTTGTAGGTATGTCGTCCAAGGGGTGGCTTTCCACCCCTCGTTTGTCCCAATTAGGGGGAATCATTGAGAGATGCAAGGTCAAGTAGATGCAGTTCTTTCGGCACGCAAGAGTCCAAGCACAACAGGAGAAGCATGATGCAGCATGGTTATCCTTCTTTCGAAAGGTTACCACATGTTACCACTCTTATGGAGCCTCTCATCCACATGTAACCAACAGCATAGAGGTCACTTGTTATATATCCACAGCTTCTCCATCCGGAACCACGGACTCGTGAAACCCAGTTCCGATGACGCTCCCAGGGCACCAAATTCTTTTCGACTGGGCACCGAATGGCAGAGCATCTGAGCATCCACGAAAGGTTTGCAACATTTCTAGCTTAAAAGACCTGTAAGGAAGGGTGTGTCATTTAATAGGGAGACCGGGGCACCCCCAACACCAGTGGTTTTTGGTCTATTTTCTGAACCTTCCGTGGGGGTCGTTGCCTGGGAGGTCTCCCTATTTTCATACTGTATATCATTCCACAGATTTATCACGGATACCTAGTGACAGTGACAGACCGACCCATGGCAAGATGAGGATGTTGCGGCTTCTTTTCATTAGGAGCGGCATCATGCAGCTGGGCCTTTTTGGTCTACATGGTTGACACAAATCACCCAAAGGAAGGTCCAGTCTAGTTGAACCTGGCCAGAAATATGCAGAGAATCTTGAGGCGAGTTTCCCGTTTCTGTAAAGCAGCATTGAAACCACATCGAAACTGCTAGCACCCTAGACTCCAGACCGCGGCACTTTCGTCCGGGTGAGGGCAAATTTGATGCATGAGCGAGGCTTTTTTTGCTGCAGCGAGTTTGGATGTAGCCTCCTTTCAAAGGATTTGAACAACAAAATCAATCGTCATCTCCTTGGGGCCACATGTGGAATTTTCACGAGAATCCTTGAAGAAATGAACTGAATGAGCGGCAGCGGCCGCCGTGCAGATCTGCGAATCGACCACCCTTGTGGCAAACATATATTATGCTGAGTCATGCCTGGTGAACATCCTTCCTTTTCTTCCAGTAACTCTGCCTCAGCACTCGCACCCTTCTGCTTATTTGTATACTCAAAAATGGATCCTTGAATGCAGCTGATCAGCACTCGCACTTGTAAATGTGAAGCACGAGGTGATGCTGCGCGGTGGGGCCTTAGGGGAGAAAAGATCGAATCACCAAGAGACCTGTCGGGCAGCATGCCATGGGACCCTTTCAAGAGACCACCCAGTTCGGGTGTTTGAAACCGGCTTGGCTGCGTAGCTATCACCCTTTGGTACGATCATGAAGCCACGGAAATACAGATGACAGAACATGTTCGAAGTAGGACCAACCCACCTCAAAAGATCGATCGAGATGTGCTCCGACCTGGATTAGGGTTCACGCTCGGTGTATGTCTAATGTGCTCGCCTCGAGCCTTTCTCTCTCCCGGGGAGTTCTCCGGAAAACGAACGCTCTCCATTTGCAGGCGGCTAAAAAATAGTAGTGGAAAGGAAGCGACTGTTTAGCTTCCATTTGTGGAATTTCCAGCTGGTTCTGCAGCTGCTTGCTCAGGCATTCCATGGCCTCTAAGTATGTCCGCGAAGTCAGTACTAGGTTGAGGCTGTAGGTGTTGCAGCAATCTTGTCATGACGAACACAGCCAGCAACAGACAAGGAACCACTTCCAGTGTTTGAAAGACTTGCTTTTTCATTTCTTTTTTTTTTAGCGGTTTGTTGCCAAGAGTGTGAGAGACCTACGGACATGTACTTTCATTAACGATCACAGCTCACGAAACACCACAAACAGCTCACATTGTTCGCCAACCAAAACACCACCATGTGCTAACGCATCGATTCCTGCTCGAGCCCTTCCAGGCGCGCCAGCTCGTGTGCGAAGAAAAAGCGCTTTTAAAATTTTTAAAGGGAGATGACGAGATGACAAGTCATGATGCTCCAGAGGTATGTTTTTTCTTGGCTGAAGCGGCATGAGGGGAGGACGAGCACAGTAGTCTGCCGTAGTCTCCATGTGGGGAAAGGGTTGATCCCGACCAGTGGGAAACCATAATATTAACAATAGCTCCTCTCTTCCTTAGAGAGATCCAATACCTTACTTTCAGACAGAATGTTCCACAGCAGTTGTTCCAGAGTGTAAGACATCTTCCATGTTCAACTTAGCCATGCTCCTGCAGATTCCCTTACGGGCTTGCTGGTGTACCCTATATAATTGGAAGATTATCTCCTGGTTGCAGGCTTCAGAAATGGCCGAAGGGTCTCAGGCAGAAAAGGATTGAACTCCCCGAAATTTCACCTCGTGCCTGGTCTAGTGAAATCAGTACAGCACGTCGGGGCCGGTCTTTGTTTTTTGGGTCTCGGGCCGGTTGAGTGGAATCCACCCCACTGCCGGCCGACCGGTCGACCGAGAGATCCGGTCTGGTCGGCAGGTCCTGCCAGGGATCGGATGACATGGGGCAAGACTGCTCCAGCTGTACGGCTCGAGGCAGTGGCCGCGCGGCGACGACCGGGCGCCCTGCGGACGTCGCCATCTCACATGAAGTCATGGGGGAAAACTCGGGCACGCCATGGTGGGAAGATCAACAAATTGCCTTGGATATTTTTTTGTCTTTACGTCATATATAGGTAGCATTGACCCGATTTTGAGGACTTGTTGTTCTGACCAATAGCTTGGCATCGGGAACATTCGGGAACCAAAAATCACCGTTTGGAGCATGCCTGCTCCAATACGTTCGTGTAGAGCACCGGAGGGTGAAGGGACCAACGCCCGGCCCCACACGACTCGACCAGGCCATTGATGTTCCTTGCCTGTTGAACTGGCACCGAAGGATGGTCCAGGATGGTGAAGCCAGTGAAGGGAAGAGGCCCAGAACCCCTTTGTGAAGGGAAGAACGGCATTTGCTGGTGCTTGTAATTACTCTATCTATCCCTTCAAGATTTGGAAGTACATAATCATGGAAGGCAAAGGGTTTGTAGGGGTATTGTGCCGAAGACCAACAATCAAGACAACCCGTCAGCAAAGCCTACACGGGCCTACACGACTTCCTGAATTGGGCAAGAACAGCAAAAGGCCTCAAAAACCAGGTTCTTATGAGTGTTCATCAACGACCCTTCAATGCAGGTCACTTCTTTTGTAAAGCCAGGTGACCGGCATGCCCCAAGCTGGGGGCCCAAAACCGATGGCCGTCACTTTCTTGCCGAGGCGAAGAGGTGTCAAAAGCATGCCTTCCAGGTCTGGAGCTGGACCGACTGCTGTGGCGAAGAGGGCCCGAGACGGACTGCGAGTGGTGCTCGTGTTGCAGTGCCTGATGACCGACTGCCATGTTAGGTAGTTACAAGGTTATAAATGAATATAAATGATAGTTCAGCACCCCATTAGAAGAGGCTTCTACCATTTCAACGGGGGTGCTTTGGGTGATCTTGGGCACACACTGGTCCAACAGAAAGGGAGGTAGTTAACCTTTTCTTGGTCTTTTGTGCATACCACAACTGACCTCACAAATGAAAGACTATTTGCGTATAATGTGTTGGGATTTGGGATTTGTGTCCGATATGAGGTGCATGCAAAAGACGCTGCTAAACTTAAGGTTGCCTAGTTCAAGGGAGATGGCTCAGCCATTACCCATAGGAACGACTGGCAGACTGCCACAGTTGCAATAGGAGAAACGTCCAGAGTGATCCATTGACCTGCTTGAACTCCCAGGAGCAAGCTGCCTGAACTTGTTACTCGATGCAAAGGTTTCTCTCAGCTTAGTGGCTAGTATGACTGTTCTTTGTTTGTCGTTTGTCGTTCCTTTTGTTTTCAAGCTGTTTGATCCCAAACAAGGCAACAAAAACCTTAGACCAAGTGCTTTCTCCGATGACGTACAGAAGCACCCAGACCACTTTGATGTGACAGGTGCTCCACCAGAAGAGCACGAGGTGCCAGACGATGTGGCCGAGTTTGGATCTTCATCTTGTTTCATTTGGAGTCGTTGTTTTTTTACACCCAAAGCCCCAAACGAACGTGGCAGGATGTAGCTGTAGCAGGCCATATTCCTTGATCTATTTTTTGGTTTGATCGCATTCCTTCGGCTTGAGACATCAGGATGGAAAGACCCTGAGCCCTCTGAGCGACCCTTTTATAAAAGACTGATGGACCAAGAGCGTTGCGCGTTGGTGGGTGGTTCTTGCGTTGCGCACCTTTTACACCCAAAGCTTGCGCAACCTTGTGTGGCCCATGGGGTCCATTTGGAGTTTGTTTTTGTTGGCGGGATTTGCATGCGGATATCATCCAGCCCATGTGAGCTTCGTGGAAAGCATGTGATGGATTTGCCTCCTTCGAAGCCCTTGGCACACATCACACGTTTGTTGGAACGCGACGACGATGACGGTATATGGTGATTATGGGGCCTGATAGACCAGCAGACCACTTGAGGCTTCAGCTTGCTACATACATGAGATACACATGGAGCCGACGGAGCCGATGGTCGGCGAGAGTGGGCACCATGTTCAGATCACTCTAGCACCTTTGATGAACAGGTGCACCACCGGTAGACCAAAAAGGAACAGTGTCAGGGATGACTTCAAGATATTTTTTTGCAGGTAATCCACCTTGGATTCCATAGCCACAGTGATAGTCGGTCAGTCATTTTTGGTTGGATCAAGGGACATAGATGCCACTGCTACTAGTGAAGAGGGATGCTCACAATTGAGGGTATTGGCTGTCTTTGTTTCGCCAGATTGGTGGCAGCAACGTTTTGAGCAACACGTGCCTTGGCCCGACTTTGGTGGCGTCCGAGTTCTTTAGACGCCTTGTAGAATTCTAGGATTCCGAGAGTTTACATTGGTATTTTCACGAAAGATTCAGTCCGGCCGCCGAGTTCAGGGTGACCCTCAGGTACTGAAGAAGGCTCCAAGAAATGCTGAAGTGACCAGGTGTTCCTTTTTATTCAGTACTACCATATAATGACCATATAATAAGCCCTCTCTTTTTTTCTGGGATGGAGTTTGGGGCCCTACGGGCTTTTCGAGTTCGCAAGAAACTGGACAGCTCCAGTCCGACAGAGATAGCAGAATCTCCGACTGCACAGCCAGACGTTTTGACAAGATCTCATGAACATGGTCATTGACTTGTGAGAATGAAACTTACTGATTCTGAAATCTTCCGATTCTGTGACGGTCGCAAGGCAACCATGTTTCTCGTTCCTTTTCTCTTGAAGTCTTTATGACCATTTATCACCCACGTATTCCCAGACTGTCCGATCTGTGAAGCAATCCGCGCACGCATCGCAGTTGTTCGCAGGAAGTAGGACGCTCCGCGTCCCGAGGTACTTTGACCAGGACCTCAAGGAGTTGCAATCTCTCCCAGCAGGAGCGGTTTCTACAAGCCCACACCCAGAAGGGCGGGGGGAGGGGCTCAGTCCTCCTTCGTGGGATTTGAAGGGCTACATCGAGAGCCTCGTTGCGGCTGTGGGTGGTTACTGAGGAAGCTGTTGGCGCTTCTAGATTCCGACAAATTCGACACAAGAGGACTGATTCACGTTTCACAGCTTCTATCCATCTCATGCAGTTCTGTGGTTCTTCCATGGTTCTTCCCTGTGAAAAAGGGGGCGTTCTCTTGTTGAGCTCTAAATATCTCTGAATTCTGTCATGCAGAAGTTGAACCAATTGCTTCTGAACTCATTTTTCGTCGGATTGAGCGGCGCACGACGGGCGCGTGCCGCGGTGCATGCGGTGCACTTTCCTCCGCTGAGGAGACCGGCAGGTCGTCGAGGAGCGGCCGCTGCGCCCCGGTGCTGAACACGAGCTCGTAACGAACGAACGAGCTCCAGGAGTGGAGTTTTCGCTTGGAGGTGAACCTTGTTGATCTACCAAGCTACCGGATGACAAGAAGATTCCTGAAAGATGAAGACTTCGCAGTCTTCCTTGGTCGAATTTTCAGCGATCCTGCTGTTCTTTGAATGTTTCTCACATGAGAACCGATGAGAAGTGGCTTCCGCCGGCTTCCGCCCTTTCTTCGGATTGCTTTCAAGACTCAAAGAACCCCCTGAAACATGCAACTTCCTTCCCTGCAAAGGGGGCCAAAGGTGTACTCCGTGGTGTTCGCGGCACAGCCACGCCACGGCCGCTGGAGGTATCGTTTCCGGAGCGGGAACAGCTACGCCGGCGAATGGCTCGGCAACGAGCGGCCCAGCTGGCACGTAATGATTGGTTGACGCGGCAGCGGTCGACCAACAAAGCCGTGAGCATCATTTGCTTTAGGCAGGATCCGTCAACTTTGCAGCTTCCGGTCGCAGACCAAGTCCAAAAAGCTTGGAAGTCCAAAAAGATCGGATTGTCACCCACCAAGTTCCAGAATCCAGTTTACGACTCTGTAGGGCAAAGTCGATGTTCTATTCCCGCTCAGAAGAGAAATCCAAGTCTTATTCCTCGAATCCATGCTGACTGAATAATTGTTCAGGTACTGTGCAGCAACTTGGTCGAGGTGGACATTTGGCAAACTGCTTTGACCATGGGTGATAGATGCTATATGAGGCTATACTGTTCGCGCATGGTACACTGCTCGTACGTGTCAAGTCGGTTGTGCAGGTTCCAAGAGGTCTACAATGAAGCACAATGCAGCTGGTGGATGTACTGAAAACTGGATGAAACGATCGAAGAGAGGAAAAACCGTCGGGGCAACCAGGTGACATGAATGATGAAGGGTGGTCACCTTTGGTGGTTTTCAATGATGGATTAGCTGGCGCTTTCAGCGACCTGCAGCTAATTTGATGTCCTCACCCGCTGCCACACGGTTACCAGCCCTCAGCACCTGAGCGCTCAGCGTTCGGTCCACGTCGATGTTCCAATCTTCATTCCGGTTACGGTTGTCTTCAAGATACTGCTCCTCATCATCATCTTCACTCCAATGAGCACTCCAACAATATTTTTTTTTAAATATTAGTTAAATATTGTACAATATTTTACAATAAAAACAGATGTATTATTTACCCCTCATTTGTTCTCATTTCCTCCCCTAGGCCGCCCTCAGCCTGCTATTTCCCCAATTTGTTCATTCCCTCTTCACAGATTCGTTTCGTCCGATGGTTCCTTCCATCGCCAGGCACGGCTTAGGTGTCCAACGCTGGCTCGATGGCGCCGTGCAGGGCTGAGTACGTGTGGAGAATCGATACTTCGTGTTTGAAGCAATTCCAAGAAGTAGAAGTATCGGCAGATCAACACATGTCCTAACCTTACGGTCCGTTTTTCAGGGCGGCATGATGATGCCAAGTGGGCTGGTATCATGCATCCTCATTTGGGTGACTCGACCGGGAACCCGGTGGAGCCCGAACGTACCATCGGTCGTAGCAACCTCCGGACGTCGTGATCGGGGGGAACGCCCAGGTCTACCACGGTTCCTGGCGCCACAACTGTGCACACGGCCTGGGGCGTTTCGTCCACACGGATGGGGACACCTACAGGTGGGAGCGCCTTTTTTTTTTGGACAGCTACTACGACAGCATCGAAGAAAGATGAAGAGGTGAAGGGATGTGAAAGGCTATGGATTACTGACTGGCACTCTCCATTGTGATAGGAGTTTGCCAGGAAGTTCAAGTAGCATGGCATTGCATATCCTGCATCTCATACATGCACCTTCAAAAGGGTTACCAAGAGCTGCGTTTATGCGCCAACCTTTCCTACTCGTTTGTGTTTCAATTTCATTCTGAAGAAGTCTGCAGCATCAAAGTAGGAAGTAGGCAGGTTTGCTGAAGAATTGATACACGTTGTTCAATCTTCGGCCTAGTCATTTGTGGTGATATGCTTTGAGCATTCTGCAAAGTACCTTCCTCGAGGCCTATAAAGCCAATGAATCACCACACTCCTAAAAATCATAGACATGGCTGCAGGATAGAGAAGCTGATTCTAAAGATGCTCCTCAAAACACAGACATATGTGCTTGAAGAAGATTCGCCGTGCATGCTGGGCCAGTGGCGAGTGGCAGAAGAACGTGGCGCATGGTGTTGGAAACTATGTACATTACGCCAAGGGCCAGGCGGGTTGGGGAAGGACATGGCGGAACTCGCAGCTTTCCTTGCATGGATTGGGGAGGGAGGAGGTATGTGTGTCAGCTCCTCAGCTCCTTCATCGGGACGTTTCTTCCTGCCAGGATTCTGTTGACCTCAGGGGACCTGTGTACCTCGGTGGATTCGGTTTTGGCCGAAGAACGCTCCCCCCGCATGCAGGGCTGAGGCGCATCAATCGGCATGACACTCCCTGGAATGATCATGGGCGAACGTGGATGGCACCCGAAGTCTCGGATGACCATGAAAGCTGAATACCAAACAGGTGGTGAACTCCACGTTCGCCCATGATTATTCCAGGGAGTGTCATGCAGATTTAAGCTTGAAGCTTCACCAACAGCTGCAACTTTTAGCAAGATTCTTCGGGATCCTAAATCCAAGGTGCATGTTGGGTCCCAGTAAATGCCAGAGTTGCTCACAAGCATCTCGTTTCCAACGACTTCCGTTTGAAGATCTGACAAATCCTCAAAGCATGTTTGCCTCGCAGCACATTGAGTCTCTGCATGGTTGAAATGAAGATCATCAGGTGAAGTAAAGCATCTAGCCGTTGAACCACTTTGCAGCTCAACTGCCAGCACTTTAGCCACCGGCTGTATTTGTGAATTTCCACCGAGTGGTTGCAGTCGAACTCGAGTCCAGCTCCCTATGGCTCGCCGTTGCAGGTCACCCGATACTTTGGTCAATGGCATCAAGACCTGCAACATGGATATGGCGCGGGGATTCCCAGCACACACATACACACCCCACTACACACCCCTACAAATACCGAAAAAGGCATGCGCGCGGTTGCGCGGTTGCACCCCGGGCGCTGTTGTTGCACTTGTTTTTTGGGGGGTCGTTTCCTCGTCATTGGGCTAGTCGCTGCAGTCCTTTGAGATGCTTGAGCCCATGGGCACCTTGCAGGAAAACTTGAGGCCCCAGAACTTGGGAGAAATCGGGATCCACCTCCCAATCTACCACCCCGTGGCAAGTCAACCCCCTTTGCATCCCCTTGCGGCCTCAGATTGAGCGCTGGGATGAGGGCAGCTGCTTCGAAGGGGAGTTCCGAGTCGCTTGGGCTGAGACAACAGGACATCGGATGAGAGGAAGACTGAGTGGAATACACTCCCTGCAAGAACCATGGAAGTGGATGGAAGTGGAGTTCACCAGTTTTTTTGGTATGAGAATTTCATGGTCAGCCGAGACTTCGGGTGCCATGCCATCCACGTTCGCCCATGATCATTCTGTGTCTCTGAAGGCAGATTGCGTCAGCCATGAGTGCAATGAGTGCAGGTGGACTAGGACTGGCTGCGCTAGCTGCTTTGTTCATGACCATCTGCCCATCTTTCCCCCATCCGTAGGCACACCGCAAAGATCCTGGTGCAAGGTTGCGGATAGGTTCATGCGGTGGTGATTGGAAAGAAAGGATGGAGAATAGTCCTTACATCAGGGAAGGCACAGGCTGCTTTGACCAAGAACCTAATTTTTGCAAGTTGCAGCTTTTCAGGGCTAATATACCTGTAGCTGCCTGTAGCTCAGAAACGTTCAACAAGAAATTTCATCGCCTCTTGCTACTCTTCTTGCACCCAGATGATTGGACATCAGCAGATTGATAATTTGCAGGGGGGGCCCACAAGGAGTTTAGGTCCAGTCCGTGCGTTTTGGCACTGATTTCTTTGTTTTGGGATTGTTCTCTTGCACCAGCATGGTGTAACAGATAGAATAGACATGAGTAGACCATGACGAGTCGGATCTTATGAAACCTCACTTCCTGCGAGCAGAAACGCTTCACAAGTCCTCAATTTTTTGACTGGTGCTTAGTAAGGAATGAGGGAATAGATCCTAAGGTATCTATAGTGGAGGGGTCATTCCCTTATTCCCTATATTTCCCTACTAAGCACCAGTCAATTTTGCAGATTTGCCATGTGGCAATGGTGGGCCATCCTTTTTCGTCATCCTGGCTTCTTTTCTGAACGTCAATGGTGGGGTGTTTCACCCCCTCTGCAGGGTGGTCAGAAGAACGGCGTGGGCATCTACCGCTGGGCCGATGGCTCCTCGTGCGGTCACCCAGCGAGGTGGAACCAAAAAGGTGCACAGCAGGGTTTGCTATGCTCAGCTAGGTGCGCGCCTGGTGCGCTCCAACGGCCATGGGATACCTCATGCCGTTGCGTTGTCGTTGAAAGACTGAAACTACCCCGTCTCGGACCATGACTCGACTCCAAACACGCGCAGACATGGCATCGCTCCTCTTTGACATGGCATCGCTCCGGACAACTTGGGATGTGGAGCGCGAGCCGCGAGCCGCGTTCCACAAACGTCACTCATGTTTCTAGGAGCTATATAGCTAATAAGTGGAGTCATGTCGTCTATCCAGCCAACCATTCCACAAGACTCCACAGGGACCTTGTATGGCACCGCAAGAGTGAGGATCCAACAGATGCGGGCATTCAAGGCTTTAACCACTTTGTTTGAGACGAGGTATGCTGGCAGCTGGCGCCGGAACAACATCCATGGTCCTGGGCACTACTTGGGACATGACCGGCGTGAGCCGCTCTGCTGATGGCCATTGGTGTTTGTATATGTTTTTTTTGTGATCGACGACGTGTGTCAATGTATTCCCTTTAGGCTTAAGGCTGTGTCCTCAAACGCAATCATCGAAAGGCACGGAGTTGAGGTTTTCGAAGATCCAGTAATTATCTCAGATGAATCTTTCGGGTGGGCGACCCTTTCGTTGGGGTGGTGCGGAGAACATAGCCTGCCCCCAAGAAATCCATGTTGATGACCACCGTGCTTGTTCGTGTTTGCTACGATATTGCTTGTTTTGACCGGCATGTCATGCGAGTGTTGGGGTGTTGGGGTCAAACCCTGCAAGACCTTTGACACTGAGATCCACTCGCACTCGCACTTCCCTTTTTGGTTCCACCAGATCGTGCGAACCGAAGGGCGACATGGCGAGGTTTCGCGGTTTGTGGAAGAACTCCATGATCCACGGCTGTGGCATCTACACCTGGCCCGATGGCCGCTCCTATCAGGGGCAGTGGCTCGGCGTGCGAAAAGAAGGGGTGTTTTCCGTGTCAACCGATCGACGGGGGAGAGTAAATCCAGTCATTGCCTCGATCAGGAATTCTGCATGGATCAGAAGACGGGGGTGCTGATGTGAACACCCGAGCTGTTTCTCTCACACATATATCAGATGTCAGGGATTTGCCTTTTTGCCTTCAGGCGTCGAAACTGTGATGCAAAAAGTGTCCTTTTGCTAATCTCTGTCGTTTCTTCTGTCCCCACCGCAGACAGAACTCCGGTGCCTCGGACCAAACCATCGCGACGTGGCGTGCCGCACGCCGATGCCGCTCGGGCCCGACTGAGGTATGACCGGGACCAGAAAGCCGGCTTCGGGATCTTCTCTTGGCCGGACCAAAGAAGGCGTTGCTTCCGGGAAGCGTTGTTTTTTTGTTTTTCACCGTTTTTCTCCGCAGGAACAGAAGATTTTTGGGGGGGAAGATGGGTGAGGTGCGTGAAAAAGGGGAGGTGAGGCGAATGGACCTGGAAGTCCATTGAGATGATTCACTGAGGTCCATGGAGTATTGAAAATCAGCAAAAGCTCTGGCGGCGCCTGTGGGGTGCGTCTGACTTAGCTTCCGCTAGGACAGGAGAGCCAAAGTGAGCCAGGCAATCCCGGTTAAGACATGTGAAGACCCATAGGACCTTCCAGGTCCTGTCCTTCCAGGACCTTCCATACAGGACCTTCCAGGACCTTCTGCAGTGGACCCGAACACAGGTGGTTGACCTGTCCTGCACCAGGAAAGACCAGTCCAGTCCTGCTTCGATCGCGTCGATCGAATGGCGAGGTACGAAGGCTATTGGCAGAACGGGAAGCAGCACGGCGAGGGGCGTTACCACCACACAGAATCTTGGTCGACACTCCAATTTCTTTCCAGGTTGGTCCTTTTTCGTGTAGGAACTTTGGTGGAATGATCATGGATGGCGCTGCGAACGTTAGTTTAAAGTATGGGGTCCTATTTGCATGTAATTGAATTGATGGAGGATGGAGAAATTGAAGCGAGGCATGCTCACCATTTGGAGTTTCAAAGGGGCACTCACCAGCCTTATAGAAACTGAATCATCAAATGTGTGGCAGTTTGACGTTGAAATTCCCTACAACCGGATGACGTCAGACAACGCGTAGAGAGACGAGAAAGCAAGGCCCATGTGAAAGAGATCAGTGAAGCACATCGCAACAAAGGAAAAGCACTAAATCCTGCAAGAGTGCAGACATTCCTGGCAGCTTTTGTGAAAGAACATGAAAGAACCAAGTAAAACAACGCGCCTAAAAAGAACCACTTGTGTTTTTTCACTGAGGATGGCAGTACCTTGTTAGCGCTTTGGGAGCATGGCCGATGCCTGGCGGGGGAGCCCGGTCCGTGGAGCCTGAGAGCAGTGCCTGTTGAGAGCGGTGATGTGTGAGGAGAATTTGGACCATTTGGAGGAGCATGCTGAGCGTGCGAAACCGAGAGACGAAGGAGAAGGCTGAGAAAGCCTTCTAAGCAGAAGCAGAAGCTTGACACTGTTACATCAACTCTTCAACCATTGGAACTCCAATCCTGGTGAACAGCTGCTACACAATGCAACACACTTCATATATACCCAAACCATCAATAGTAACTCATCGGCTTTAAATGATGTTTATCTTCTACCAGGTGGGGTTTGGGGTTGGTTGTTGGACAGACACGTTGACCAAGGCCGCCAGGCCACGCTTTTCTTTGTTGACGGAGTGTTTGTCCAACGCTGGCGTCTTCAAATAATCGCTTCTGCCCTTCGGAGTAGGTCGGAGGACACCCAGTCCGAGAAGAGCCGGCAGAGTGGTCGCCACCGCGGGCGAAGAGTCTCCATCGTCCCAAGTCGCATGTTAAAAGCTTCTTGCTCCTAGTAGTAAGGCACTTGTTTCTAATAGCTTCTTGTTACTACTAGTAAGGCACTTGTTACTAGTAGCTTCTTCTAGAGATGGCCTCCAACCAGCTTCTTGTTCCTAGTAATGCCAGGAGCTTTATACCCACTACAAGGGTGTTGAAGTTGCGGGCAATTTCAGGGGCAGCCGATTTCGAGGTTGTGGGATTCGAGTGATTTTCGATGTTTTGACCACTCTGGTGGAGAAATGTTTTGACCTACTACATAGATACGGGATTGTGGCCTCCCAGTTTTGATCTGGGTTTTGAGTTATGTAGCTTTTGGTGTGCAGAGGTTTTCACTGAGGAAGGCAGGATCATTTGGACTACTCTCCCAGCTTGCCAATGTCTCCAATGGCTTGTAGTAGTTGCCTCAATCTAATTTCCTGCAGGTCCAACAGCTCCAGTGTTGCTTGCGGTTGCTGGTTAGCATTTTGCATGTGACCCATGTATCCGCATGTTTCAATTGTGGACCTGCGATGAACCTGTGGAGGCTGCATGTTTTTTCGGCATTGCTTTCAAAGTAGAGCAGGATTTGCCAGACGTCGCGGTCCAAAAAGATGTCCGCACGAGCGCATGCCGACGATCCAACGAGAGACGCGTCCCTTCTCATGGCTGCCGAATGGGCATACATAGGAAGCTGTATATACGAACAAGATCCAGCATGCCTTGGCTCGGTTTGCTGATTCGAAAGATGGCATTGTTGGACGCATTTTGGAAAAATTAGCCATCCTCCAGGATTCGTGGTCCTTGCTACATCCGATAGTTCTCCAACCAAATTGGGGTCCTGAAAGCAAACAGCCCAGTCGGGTCCAGAGTCATGTTGCAGAGTCTTTGGCATGATCAAATCTGGCTTCATTGTGTGGCTCTTCAGATCCTCGTGCTCCTCCGATGTTCAGAAAGAAACAGTTCCCCCAATCCTTCCAGTTTGTTGTGCCTGTCGGTGTTGGTCAACCGTGCATCTGCCCTCCTTGTTTGGCTCAGCGAGATATCCCTGTGTGGGGGGAGTGGGGAGGCCAGGACCCGTGGGGAGTGCAGACTGGTACAGATTTATGGTTCATACTGCATACTACATCCTGCAACACCCGGGGAATTCTTCCAGGATTTTGTGATCTACCGGCAGCAGGGAGTTGTTGTCTACGTTGAAAACACATGGATTGCCCGTCTGGGCTCTCCCGTTTGGGTGCGTTCATGGTTCAAACATGAAGGGGCATGCTGAATCTGGAGTGGACTGGGTGGTCGGCTTTAGCCAGCTGGACTGAGAATTGAGATGCCCAACTGGTCAGCTTGTGTCAGCATGTCAGATCAATAACACATATTATCACATGTATGAAACATGAATGAAATTTGAAGAGGTGCTCGAAGCCTAGATGCAAAACCGCTATGACATCCCTTGTCTTGTCCTTGCTTGAACACCGACCTCGACTGAAGACCGGTGTTTGATTTTGAAGGCAGTTCGGTTTCTTAATTTTGTCCAATCACGAGGAATATCACCCCCATGGAACTTGGAACCACAAATTGTAAGCACCACGTGGGCAATTTCGAATCACGCCAACAAAACAGAGACGCCACCCCCCACGGACAGAGGCCCTTTTTTTCGGTTTTCCACTTGTTTGCCTGTCCGCTCCCAAACCCTACGGAGACGCCGTTGCACGCCGTTGCAGGGTTCACCATGACAGCCTGGACCTCAGAGATGTTCACCATGTCGCAGGGGTTCGTGGGATGAGTTGGTCCACTGGGCAAACCGTTAGAGGGAGTTCGGCCGTGCTCCGACAGTGCAACACGTGGAGGACTCACTTGGTGGCGGGCTTTTGTGGTGCGACATTTTTGCATCCATGTTCAACCGTGTTTAATGTGGATTCTGTCTCACTTAAATAATTGGATTGGATATCGCTGAAAGACTGAAGGAGGGCCCCAAGAACTTGAAGATAGAGCTGCGTGCATTCTCAATTCAACCTCTATCAGCCGATGTTCAAACCACTTTTGGTATTATAGTTTAGTTGGACCACCTTTTAAGAAACCCGATTGTTCAAAAATCACTGTTACATGGTCCAGTCCGGCTCGAAGAAGTCGACGCCGAGGACCAGGATTTGCCCGACTTTGACGCCGATGCTGGGAACCTCAGAGCAGATATCGGACACTGCCGTGTTCCCTCAGGCTCTCCTCCGTATGGAGGGGGAGAGGATCAACGCAAGCACATGGACACTAAAAAGGTCAACCTGGTGTTCAACTGTAGAAAAAGATGGGGATGGTGTTTTTTGCGACAGTGTAGAAGATAGATAGAGTTTCGGCAACCTTTGCTGTCAGCAGTTCTACGAAGGCAGTCGGAAGCACCAGGGCCTGTCCGTATGGCAGTGTGCTTTGAGACACTTCTGGAAAACACCCCTCTCTCTGAATTCATCAGCCCTGAACCTTTATTGTGGAGATCCTTTCACTTTCAATTCTATATAGGTGCTGTTTTTTGACAGGGAAGAGCCTGTATTCGAAACTTTGGGGTCTCTGTTTTGTTTGCAAGGAAACCATGCAACTCATGTTACCTTCAATGCCACCTTTTAAAAACATGCGGATGTTCTGCAGGATATGCTGGATTGGTGCACTGTTTACGGCTTCCTCTTCGTATCTCTTCGAGAATCGGTTCAAACCCAATTCCTTGGTTCAGACTGCAAGGCTGATGTTTCTTGGAGGTCCCATTTCCAACCTGCATTGTGTGGTGCTGCAGGACGCCAGAGATGGTGGGCCAAGCAACGGTACAGGATTTGTGCCGCAGCTGCAGCTGGAGGTCTCAAGAATCCGAACGGGCACTCCATGCCAGGGTTCCGGACCCGAACCAAAGCTCTATGTGTTGGGAACCGGACCCGGATTCGATATGGGTGCCTTCAATTTCAAGTCACCATCGAGGTGTCGGTCTTGACCAATTATAGCAATCACTCGGGGCTGTAGGTCTTCCGAAACCACAGGGACTACTAACGCCAGCCTTGACCTGGAAAGTGGATTACAAACGAGGGGACCAAGGGTGTTGGAGCCAGCTGGAAAAGGTGAACATGATGAAATACGTAACCTTTTGCAACCCTCATGGCAAGTGTGCCTTTGCTGATCCAAGGCAAAAGGCAGCATCTCTGCATCCGGTTTCAAGGACTTTCTCCTGAAGCCAGAACTGCTGCAGGCGTGGGGAGAAGGTGATTAGTGGGGTTTGGAAACGATTGGAGCACTTTCTGGACCAAGGCTTTTAGTTGGTTCTGGACCATGTCAACAAGAACATGCAGTTACTTGTAGCTAACATCAATGATGAAATCCGGCGCGCTGAAGGTGTGAGAGGTCTCCAGCTTGGTTCAAACATGAGCGCTGAAGTAGACCCAGCAGGTTCAAAGCGATTTGATGCTGGGCCCCAATGCAAAAAGAAGCTTCACTGCATGAGTAACCCCGCGGCGGTAGAGACTTCTTCAGAGGGCGGTAGAGTCGACGCACTCATCGGCCAGGCCACTGTGGATTGCGGCTTCGAGCATCCTTCAGAGGTGCCCAGTTCGGAGCATTTCTCCAAAGAAAAAGGCCGCTTTTTGACGCGGCGCCGCGCGAGCAGCTGGGCGTTTTCGCAAAAAGGGCTTCAACAGAAGAGTATGGATCCCACGTACACGGATGCAAGCAATTTTAGATTTATTCATTTGAAACTCTGGCCCTTGTGAGTGGAGTGCTTCCAAGCCCACCAAAATGCATTGAGCTCGCAGGTGCGCATTTTAAGTTTTCATGTTGCAATGGGCCTTTCTACCCGCGATGGTGGTCGTGTGCAGGTACAGCATGCTTGCCTGCCGCAGGCCATGTTAGGAACCGATGTTCTTTGCCAGGCGAGATGGGCTTGGCGGGGGCAGAATCTGGCGAGAGCTGACCGTGTGATGATGGTGATGTTTGCCAAGCTTCATTCACCTCCTTAGTCTCGGATGATGAGATGTTTGCCATCTACCGTCTCTACACACAGGTCGTGAATGTGTGGATGTTGGATGTTTCAGGTCTCCGCTGAGTGGAAAGATGTAAAAAGGAGGGACCGCGTTGAACAGCCAAGAAGGAAGACCCAGCAGAGGCGGTGGGACACCCTATAGAGGTCGATTTCATCGCAAAAGGGAGGGTTATGGTTTCCTCGTTCTTGTCTCTACCCAGTTGATCGAAGAAGAATCAATGACACTATATGGTTACTGTAGTGGTTACTGCATATCTATGGTTCAGCATGTTTGAACTTAGGGAATTGGTTCAGAGAAGACCTACCCATTGTCATCCGCAGTTTTGAGGAGTGAAGAATTTGCTTCCCCACTTGATCAACGAAACACATGGCAAAAAGCACGAGTCCCGAGCCCTTCAAGACTTGATCTTCAGCCATCGCCATCCTCCATGGCACGACTCCGACATCGGCAGGCGAAAAGTGGCATGGGCAAGACTGCGGTTTTCGTCTTGGCTTGCCTTCAGAACTTAGAAGTCTCCAAGACCGTGGCTTGGCAAAGATGGCGAAGGGAGTCGACACCATACATGTCACAAGAATTCACACGATGCCTTTTGTTGGGGGTGCGGAGTATTGAGTATTGGAGTGGATGAAAGATGAAGCCACAAGGATTTCCTTTATTTCTTCGTTCAATATCTCGAAATACTCATGACTCGTGACTCTCAGCTTCAAGGCAGTCCAAGTGCTGGTGGTTTGCCACACGCGCGAACTCGCGTGCTGACCTCAGAGCAGCTGGCCAGATGGGCCCCAGACCAGAGTGTTGGAAGACGGTGCGGTGGTCGTGGTGTTATGAAGCTACACTCTCTGGGAAGTGGAACATGGCCCCTTGGAAGACCATTTTCCTCTACAAACAGGGTGTTTTCCACTTCCATGTTAGTTCCAGGGAGTGTACATCAAGCTACAAGTCTTCGCCTTTATCTATCAGCAATCAGCATGTGATCTTTTAGAAGAGACGGGTGTTCCGTTCGAATCTGCCCCATGACTCGCGGCAGGGAACGGAACGGAACGCCTCGGGGCGATGCCGGGCGATGAACGGAACCAAAGCAGTTCGTTCACCACGGAACTCGTTCGACGTCTCCGGGAACCCGCGACGACGTCGACTGCGGCACGGAACGTTCGGTGATGAAACGTTCGGATGGTGGACCTCTCCGCTCCTCTAGGCCATCGCTCTTAGGTGGCCATCGCTACCTGGTTGGAGGCCATTACGAACGTAGCAAGAAGCTACGAACGTAGCAGGATCTGAGGGGAAACCTCGTTTGTCTAAGGGGAACTCCTTTGCTGCGCCTGACTTCGTCCTTGGAAAGTCTCGATCTGGGTGTTCGTTGGTGTTCCAGGAGACATGGGACTGCCGCATCCAGACTCAGACTGTAGAAGGTTCTCGCGCTGTAGAAGTCACATGCATTAAACCGTACCTTTTGATGGGCCCCATCCTGGATGCCTCGGTGGATCCCTTCTGAGCGTTTGTATCTTCCTGCAGCTGCAGGTTTCAGATCGAGCTGGAGTTCAAACGTCTGGGGAAGAATCTTCAAGGCCTCAAGGCGGAAGATATCAGTCCCATTCTGCATACCAGACGCAGCGAGACGCATGGGACTGGAAGAGTTGCATACATTGACCCCATACTGTGATGTAAGTAGCTATTCCAGTTCGGATGGTCTAGGATTGGAGATCTTGGAGTGACTTTTGGAATTTCTGGATCTCTAGCTTTTCTTCAAACAGTGACACCACTCTGCCACGGGAAGAGCTGGCCGAAAGCGGAACAGGACATAGAGCGATCCTTGTTTGCCTATGTTTGCCTTGGTATGTGAAGCCATCGATGAGTTCACCAATGAATTGGGGGATCCATATTTTGAGACCGGGAACCACTGCCTGTTTATTGTTTTGAGAATTAAAACTGTTCTTAGGATAGCCTTTTGATGATGATGTCATTTGCTGGTTGCAACTGGTAACTACATAGCAGCGATAATGAGTGTTTCTATGTTGTTTGTCTATCAACAGTGGGTCTAAATTGTGTTCATATTGAAACACAACACACAGCACACACGCCGCGTGTTGGACTCCTCACCGGACTGACCATGACTGAGGATGCCACGAAAAAACATCGATGGGAGAGTTTTTGACGTGGGGGCCGCCCGACCCGCAGTCTCATTCCTTCATCCTTCATGTTGCGAACTGTGCAGATTCCGTTGCTTGTTAAACGTGAAGTACGTTAAGTACGCAGATTCCGTAGCTATCTCCAAGGCAGCTGGACGCCAGTTTCTGAAAAACGCCCCGGTCCGAGTCGGACGGCGTCGACGCGTCTCCGAACCAGACGGGCTCGGTCTTTGGGGGTCAGCCCTTGGAGAAGGACAAGGCGAGAGGAGTATCCGTGGTGGATCGAAGCGTGGGATGTGGAGGGATGTGGAGGGTGCGAAGTCTGAGAAAGAGAAAGATCTCAACCGTGCAGGTGCAACGGATGGAATGAGATTTATTGGATTTGGGGATTTTGGTAGAAAGGAATGGTGTAAATATGTGTAAATCGTTTAGATGGCATTGCTTGGCAGATGATGGCCCACGCCATAGCGTGGTACTCAGGGATATTGCGACTAGTTTGATTGAGGAGATACCTCAAGAGGATTCTTGATTCCGTACACTTTGCGCCCTTGATGGTCGCAACTACCTCCTGCATATAGTGTCATCATCATCAAGAAAATGATGACAAAGTATCTCGTTTATGCGGGTGCCCTATCTCGTTCACAAGCTCATACTGATAGACAGACAAATAGAGCACGCCGTGTTTGCTCATATATCCCGTTGTTTCAATCTCGCGAAGGGTGGTTTTGTGGTTGGTTGGAGGGTTCCATGGACTGTTCAGCCTTCGTTCAAAAACAAGCCGAGTCGACGAAGGATCGACCCCTCCGAAAACGCGGGTCTGGCAGAGTCGACTGAATCCTTGTTCAGTCTCCTTCACGAACACGGGTGAGTGGGCCCATTGTCACTCAATATAATGTCTAAAGTGCAACTGTTCAAAATTCCGTGATTTTTCGTGAATTTTAGTGGGTTATTATTTGAGTCTAAGCTGAAAGTATGAAAACCCTCCGCCTGCATCTGCTGAATCTGGCTTTTCATCGATAGTTCTTCGCCCTGTGCTTCAGGAATTGCTCAAAGACAGCCGTTGCCCACACATCGTGGCGCCGGGCTGAGCGCCGAATCATCCGTCGTGGCGCCGAATCATCCGTCGAGTGATGGGGCGACCCGCCGATCCGTCTATCGACGTTCCTTTGCGAGTCGGATGAGAAGTCCTTCTACCTATGTGCCACCCCATTTTAAAACGCGCTTGCTGTTTGGCCACTTTAGCGAGAAGAGCATAGCAGATGCTTCAATTGGACCTCTTCATCAGGTATCCCTCACTGAAGCTTCGACTGATTCAATTTGCTGATTTATTTCAAAGTCCTGTAAGCACCAAAAAGCGATTGAATCAAAAACTTGTCCTTCTTCGTCCTTTATGATGGTCCCCAACTAGATAGAAACAAATTGAACGATTGTTTCAAGGCAAGATGTTGCTTTTGGGCGACACCTCTACACCTACTCATCCAGGGTGGGCTTCTTTTGTCATGTCTAGGTGGGCACTCCTGGACGAGTTCTTCAACTTGCCAAGGATAAGATCCTCAAGCTCGATGGCTCGGAGCTCGACTCCTGCCAGGGTTCTTCTTTGGCGAAACCTGCCGTTAAGCGGTTTGTTTTTGTTTTTTCAACGAAAGAAGGAGAGGAGATAGACCGGAGACCATTTTGACATGTTTGTGTTGAAGCACTGGGGTTTGCTTGTTGATTCTTCTTCCAACCACCTGTTTGGCTGGAGGCTCTACTTCTATTTCAACACATACCCTTATGAGCAGCCATAGAACGGAACGGTGGTAACATGTAGCTTGTTACTAGTAGCTTCTTGTTCCTACTAGTAAGGCACTTGTTACTAGAAGCGATGCACTTGTTACTAGTAGCTTCTTGATGTGTAAAGCAATGCATCCAGCAGTGCCGGACATTTTCATCCAGCCGTGTTCGCCATCGTGTTCGCCAGAGCCACTTCACCGTGCACTTCAGGTCTGAGCACCTTTGTCCTCGACGAGTGCGATAGGTGAGAACGTCAGATCATCATGTCACAGACAACCTGACCAGGAGACTTTTTTGTTCTTCCGGACTCATTGTCCAGAAATCACAATTCAATTGTTTGTTTCGAAACTGGATCCTTCTGTTTACTGGGTGAAGTCTCCACGCCATTGGCGGATTCGATTCTGGCACTGACTGAGCGAAATGCCATCGCGAAATCGCGCACGCTCGTCTTCCCTCCGCCAAAGCAACAAAGACAGAAACACATGGAAGAGGCGTTTCTTTCTGTGAATATACCAATTCCTCCATTTCACCAGGTGTATCGACCAGGATACTTTTTAATAGCTTCCCTCGCCGATCGACCCCAGGTGTATCGACCAGTTGGACCTTCGGAGAGATGTACAGCAGATCTTCATCCGAACGCCCAAGAAGAAGCAGGCACGATCGCCGTTTCGGGCTTCTCGCCTGGAGAAGAAGAGCAGGACATGTTTGTTGAGTTCCAAAGCAAGTGGTCTGCTTGGTCTTTGCCTCCTTTTGCCTAGGCCTTTCAGATCCGATTTGAGTTTAGGCCAGCTCTGAGTTTATCTCGGTGCCATGGGCAACAACTTCTGTGCGGTCGAGAGTGTGGAACCAACAGAGGAGGTTCTTGTCAATGTCGAAAAGGCCTTTGAAAAGACACCTACCCCGACTACGGGCCTACCTCCTGGAGATTGGGATGGCAAACCGATGTTCGAGCACATCCAGGATGTCATGCCGGAGGCAGAGAGACAGCAGATTTTGCAGAATGTGGTGCTGGACGATGACCCCAGCAGCAAACACTTTGCCAGGCGTGAGAAGGCCATTCGATTTGTTACCATCATCAACGGGAGAGTGCAGCCCTTCACTCAGAACTACTTCGTTCAGGATGCAGAGTACAATGACTTCTCAGGTGGATATCGGAGATACTATGCGTTAATCAATGAATGCCTCTTTGATCCTGGGGCCCCGATTGCCGAAGTGGTCTTGAATTTTGCGAAATACTACAGCATTCCAGAGAAGACGGCCATCCTCGTTCAGATCCAGACCAACCACTTTGACCAAGCTCAATATGGCAAGAGTCGTGCCAGCGTAACTGGGCAAGGCATCCACACCGATGGGGCAGATCGTGCCATGATCGTGTGCTTGCATCGAGGAGGAAAGCTCGAAGGTGCCGAGAACCTCTTCCATGGCTCATTGGATGGCATGGACCCCCTGGGTGACGAGTTTGCTTTGCACAACCGAGAGGGTCTTTACTTCAAAGACAACAGCGTCTATCACCAAGTTACCAGAGCAGTAGTGGTGGGCAAGCCCCAGAATCCAGAGGAGATCTCCCGCACAGTGATGATCATGCATGCCCCGGCCGAGATCTTTATGCAAGGCTTGCCGAATCCAAACAACACTCTTGGTTCCAATGAGGCTGAGACCAAGTTGCGTGACGAGACTGAAGTAACCAAGGCCTTGAGGGTGCGTGAGAGCAGGCTGGGCGACCACCTGAACTGAGGGCGGCACGCATTTGTTGGGCCGTTCCGGTGGGTTGACATATTATAACCAGTTTTCTCAATGCATATTTGTGTGAGCTCCACGAGATCCCGAAGGAACTCTGGGGCCCCACTACTTTGGATAGTGACATGTCGACATAGGTCGAATAATTAGGTACTCTGGCAGGGTACCCTTTGCACGTACCAATAAACCAGAAATTCTCGTTTGATCTTAAGGCATCGCCAGGCAACTGCACTACTGCTAGATGTTTCTCTTTAGCATGGTGGAAAGCAGGAATCTCCACAAGGGAAGCATGCAAAGGTTGAACGTGCAGTCCATGAGTGGCAGTGCAGCTGGGAACGGATGCCAAGGTATTTCGTCCCTTGTTAAGGGTATGAAGGATCATGCAGGTCACCCTGCTTTTCTCACCCAGGTAAACTGCAGCGAAATGCACCGAGAGCTGGAAAAGAGTTTCGGGAGCGCTCGCGAGCGGTTGGCGCGGTGGGTTGCAAGGTCTCAGATCAACTGAAGGCCTCGCAGATGTCTGGCAGATGTCTTTGTCCCCAAGTTCGGTGCAGAACTCTTTGGCAAGCCCCAAAGTTCGGTGGATTCAGTGGAGCGTCCCGGGCCCGGTGCACGAACCCGCCATCGGCACCCACTATCGGTGGCCGGAAAAAGGAGGTTTTCCCCGTTTCTCGTTTCGTTCTTGGATGATTCCATCGGAAGAGTTGTGTGATTGCGACCCAGTTTCAACGTCTGCTGTCAGGTCATGATGTTTAGTGCGACCTTGAGTGCAGATACTCGGGACATTTGCAAGAAGTTCATGCAGGGCTCGGAGCCACAGAATTTCTTTTGTTAATTTTGTTTCTCATTTGCGTGTTTTTTCGGTCGATGAGTCCGGCTGGCAGGGGTGTGATTTGTTGAGGGCATACGGCGTTCAGAGTTTCACAGGCGGAACCGCACCTTCCATTTCATTGTTAAACAATGTTAACCATGTTGATACACCTTTTGATGCACAAGCCGTCGTTTTTTGACACTAGTTTCAGAGTAGATGGCATAAACCCTTGCATGTCCTTTAGATGAGGGGTTCATATAAACCACCAAACTTGGGAATTGTGCCATCATGTGCCATTTACTCTTCACAAACTATTTCGATCTGAATGTTTTAGCTTTCGATTCGAACTTGCCCACTGCCCGTCTACTCTTCTCCGAGCTGGGATTGAGCCATTCTTTCAGTTGGAATTGTTATGAATTGTTAGACTCCTGTTGAAGGCCATTTGGGATCACTACTTAGCCAAAATTCTGCACCACCTAGAATCCCATACGTAAAATGCAAATGACCCCTCATGGTCTTTCGGATCGCTTCAACAACGCGTCGCTCTGTTTTCAGGTCCACACGAGATCACCGTGGACGAGTCGAAGCTGACCTTGCACGGGCTCCTCCAGTGACGCGGAGGGCTCGATGTGGTGAGGGACGGTCTGTGACGTCGCTCGCGGTCCGTTTCGGTCCGTTTCGGTCGAGTTGGACGGTTCCGTTTCGGTCCGTCGACGTGAAGCTCGAAGGATCGAAAGAAACCGATCTTTAAAAGAAGACACCGATCTGAGCCTTGAGTCAGTGTCAGGAAGTCAATGTTTGATGTGTTTGGCCTTTGATCTTTAAACCTAGGGCAGTGCTTCAGTCAGAAGCTGTTCGCAGAAATCGGTGTGTTCTTTGCAATGGTCTTGTCAGCACGAAAGACAGGCTGAAATCAATCGACAGCCTGGCACCGTTGTTCGACATGGGAAGAATGGGATCTAAATCATGCGTTTGTGTGGCATTGCTGGATCAGGGTGGCAAAGGGGCCAATAAACCCTACAAAGGGGCTGGTAGACTTCCTTTCTTGTTTTCCAGCAACTCAGCACGTGCCGTGTGTTTGACCAAGACCCCGAGACCCAAGAGTGGCGTGAAAACGCCATGGAGGTGAGAATGTATTGGAAAGGTACTACATCAGACTGGAGGAGCGTCAGAAGAACAAGAAGCTCTTTGACTTGTTAGACATGTTGGAATTTAATCAGGCCAGGGAGTTTGGGGTGTGGTTTGATCCAGGGCTTGGGGGCCATAGGTAGCTTCTACTACGACCCTGCAAACAGCTGGTAGGGCAGTGCTCCAACTTGCATTCAAGCAGAAATGGCTATGGCTGGATCCTTGAGGCTTATTGGGCACTGCTTTGTGTGCCATGCACAGTGCTGTGATGCATATATATATATATACACACACACGCGCGCGGAAGTTTGAGAAGGCACCCACGCAATTTCTCAGGTGATTCTTTTCGGCTGTGAGCTCCACCGTGCCACGCTGCGCGGGGGAGGTGGTGATCTTCGTGAAGACCGTGCGACGGGCCATGGCCCTGGATGGACTTCTACAGGCAATAGACAGAGATGAAGCGATGAAGTGGTGGGGTTGGGGTGGTTGGGTCGGTTGGATTGAGATGAAGATATCCGATCCATCAGATTTCTGCGTCATGAGATGGCCTGGAGAATGGTTTTTGGGAGCTGTGGAACCAGCAAAGGACTTCATGATGGAGGAATGAGGCCTTTCGCGGTTGTTTAGTTCTTGCTTTTTTGGGGTGTATTTAGTGCAAAAATAGTTTGAGCTGAAGGTTGATTTCAGCAAACCGGTAGCAACCAAAACTGATGAAGAGTCTTTAATTGACGTTCTTGCCTAAGACTGTTGCAGAGGGTGGAGGGGTGAGGTGGAGGGGAGACTAGAACTGGAGGGCGAGCAAAACCATGTTCTTTGCAGTTGGAATTAATGCAGATGTCCAGATAGAATCCATGCAAGATGTCCAGATACTCACTAAACCCAAAGTACAGTAAGACCTTTACACAGTAGAATTGCCCATTCTCAGATCCAAGCTCCAAGCAAGGCTTCTCATTTGAGCGAACCATATGATGACACAAGCCTGGAGAGCAAAAACTCCATGTAGCGCCAGAGCGACTTGCCACCTTTGGCCCGCAACCACTGCAACCCAATTTTGCAACTGGTTTGGTCTTCAGAAATGGTGTCAAACCCAAGGAAGATCAGGTAACCCTCAAGCCCATGTTCAACCACCCGGCCTAGTTTTAGTGGATGCACGTAGACATCAAACAGCAAGCCTTCCAGCGCTGGCCAGGATCACCAGTTTCCATCGATGACTTTGCACCCGATGCCCAAGGCTTTTGCGCACAAGGCCTGGTCGGCGATTGAAGATTGGATTCAGCCAGACTGACAAGACTGAGGAAAGAGTCCTCAGTCTCGTGCGAGGTCGTTCATTCTGAGGTCGTTCGGAACGACTGGACTACCATTCAACCATTTGTTTTTTTTGGCTCACTCGACAACGGTAAATCCAAGTAAATCCCACGTGGACATTCCAAATAGCCCCCAGCCACTCAGTGTTTTGGAAAGCGCATTCGACCCGCCAAGGTCTTCATAAAGAACAAGCGGAACCACCTGAGTGTTCAACAGTCTACCCTTTTCCGCTCCCAACACTAAAGCCCAAGTGGATAAAGACATCTCATGAGCATTTGTGTCTTAAATGTGTCTTCCTTTCTTTTTATGTTTTTATCTCCGTCACCCTTCACCCCTCACACCCATCCCAGGTTCCTCGCCAGGTCGCTTGCTCGGCACGCCTCTCAATCCGCCAGGCCAAGAAGGGAGACGTTTTGACCGCGGATTCCTCGCGGATCGAGCGACTCCAAGCCTTCAAGGCCGGCGCTTTCGGTCGGCGCTTTCGCGAAGGTGTGGTTCGGAGAATGCTCTCAAGAATCTTCAGGACTAGGAACAAAGGGCATCGCTACGAACGGAGCGATCGGACGCTACGAACGTAGCTCCTGGCACAAACAAACTAGGAACAAGGTTCGCTACGAGCGTAACAAGGACGATAAGACATCTTGAGGCCTTGGAAAGACTCGCTTCGTTCGGTGGATCACGAGATCACGCTTTCCTAGGCCTTCAAGAAGCGTATCTTGGTGGCCACGGACTTGTTCGGCCGCGGCATGGACGTTGAGAAGGTGAACATCGCCCCTTGCTCGAGTGACGGTGTGACACCATGTGGCTGGAGAGACCAGGAGTTTCAAAGAGGGTCAAAAAGAATCACATGTGTAGTCTATGTCCATGTATCATTTCAAGACTCCACCAATGGCATGGCATATCTGCTATAGTAATCATAGCAGATCATCGCGACTCAATCATCATTGCGCCGATGGATGCATCTTGTGCCAAGGTCATCAACTATGACATGCCTGAGGAGCTTTGGAAGCCGCTGAATCTCTCCTCTTGCCTGGATTATTTTGGGGTACTTTGAGGTGATCATACCCTCACGAAAAAACACCATGGAAAGCCAATGAACGCCATGAAAGCCTTGCATACAAGATCCTATGTTCCAGATTTTTCCGGGGCCCTCGATCAAATCCAAGTCATCACGCTTTGCTTCACGTGTTGGTTCTTTGACCACCGGCCACCAGTGACTTTGGCGAAGCAACCTTCGGGTGAACAGAACAGATCATGTGGGATGACTGCGGTCATTGCGAACAACCTGTTGCAAATATGCCCGTTTGGGCTCCTGGCCGCCCCCTCCGTTTTCACAGGCGGTTGGGGTGGGTGCCACAGGGGTTAAACACACTGCTGAATTTGCATCCCAGTTTGCCATGAAGCAAGACATCCTCAGTAAAACACCTCGAACACTTGCAAAAAACAATTCTGGAAGAAACTCCTGGCATGTTTTCCTTGACATCCTCACAGAAGAACTCTCGAACTCTCGCCCCTCAGCTGCGTGGAGTTCTTGGCCCCAACGGCTTGGCCACGCAGGACAGTGACATGTACTTACACCGCGTGGGTCGTGCGGGGCGCTTCGGAACGAAGGCAGACGGTGGCGGAGACCATGGCATCGGTCTAAATCAAGTTGAACGGCTGATGCAGTTGTAGCCTCACGTACTTTTAGGTCATCCGTTTGACAATGAATCCAGATATCGGCTGGAAGTCTTTCTTTCTGCCAGGGCTTGGCCATTACCTTTAGCGCCACCGAGGAGGACCAACAGGCGAGGAGAAGTTAACGTCACCCCAAAGCGACGTCCCGGTGACGAGGATGCAGAGACGAGACGAGACGTCGTCGAGGAATCGACGAAGGCGTCTTGCTGTGGTGACGCCGTCTGAGGGAGGACCTTTCGAAAAAGCCTGCGATCTTGTTTTGGGTACGCAGTGCCTGGTGAAGGGGAAGGAGGATCATGAGCTCCGAATGGGCCACATAGGCAAATGAAAGCATCTTTCCAGATGAAGAGTAGCAATGTTCGCTACGAACGGGGCTCTTGGCATCGCTACGAACGGAGCAAGGACGCTAATCCCGAGTTACTATTAATAAACGTACCCCAATTAATAAAAACACATGTGCCCGACCCCAAAAAATTGTTAGTAGCGTTTTGAAATTGCTCCCTTTGAAATTCAATACTCGTGGGTCCACAGTCGGGGGTGCCCCAGATTTTAGGTGTATTAGGGGGACAGCAAAAATAACCCGAATTCCCCCTAATATTAAAAACATCTCCAATCCTCCCCAAAAGATACCTCTCTCCCTCTCTCTCTTCGGCGAGACCGCGAGACCCTGGTTCTCCCTCTCTGTCCCTCTCTGTCCCTCTTTGTCCCTCTCTGTCCCTCTCTGTCCCTCTCTGTCTCCTTTCCAAGATCCATTCTTGCTATTTTGTGGCCCCCTAATACTAAGCAGGAGTCTGTGCCAATGCTCCTAATTAATTTTGCTTTCCTGATTGCGCTATCCATTGCTCTTTGC